ACGGTGCGAAGTCATCAAAAGAAAATACAGAGAAAATAAACGCACTTTTGGACTGTTCAAAAAGTGAAACGAAGTTTGAATCAATGATAGGTGAGCATTTTTTTTAAACATTATTAACTGCTACCTGTGCTCGCTTATTTACACTTATTTATAAGTACAGTACCTTTCTATCTACATTTTAGTCCTACTAACAAGGATTAGAAATGATTTAACATTTTTACTACATTTTTTAATAACAGCATAATAATAGCAGTTCGATCATGCCATTCGTGAAATCAATTCTATTGGCTTATATCAGATGAAATATTATTATAAAACTTTTCATGATATATTTCACACTTTCGTTCACCTAAAGAATTTTTTTCTCTACAGCTGACACCACGACACAAGCTGTGAGAGTAGGTACTGAAAAAAATACAGATACAGCAGTAACATCTTGTACCACAGCACTAGCTTTAGCTGTTGATACTTCAACAGCTACAGACACAACGCAAATAGTAGGCACTACAATTACACCAATTGTTAGCACTAACCCTAAAAAGTTATTTACCACCGCTGAAACCACATCAACAAACGCAACCAAAGCTACGCAAATAAAACCAATGTCAACGAATAAAATTTCCAAATGCTACTGGACGCAGACAAAGCATTTAACGTTAGAGGACAATTCTCAGACTTTCACGGAATATAATACTGTAACGACATATATAAAACCGACAGCCGGTAATTCTACATTAGTTGCAAGTGATGAAATCTCCCCAAATATTAATACTGCACCGCCTACACTTACAAATGCTTGTACCATTTCGCCAGTTTCAAGTGTTCTAACTACCGCGAGTAATAATACTGCACCATCTGTGGATACAACTCCTTCTACAAATACTCCAAATGCAAGAGATGATACTACCCCAAGTAATGATACTGCACCATCTATGAATACAACACCAACAGCCTCTTCTACTACACCAGATGCAAGTGTTGAAACTACCAAAAATACTGACATTGCACCAACTGTAAAAACACAAGAAGAGATTAATGTCAAAAGTGTGGACATATTGGAGGAGAGCTACATCGAGAATGTTGAAGATACTAAACGAACACAAACAAAATCTGTGACTCAATTAGATGACTATTTTCCATTACTTGATGTTACTAATGTCATTGAGAAAGAAATGGCGAAAATGTCCGAAAAAGACAAAGCAAGAAATAGCGGAATGACGGTTATGTAAGTTTGAACATTTCCGTATTGTATTAAAATATAGAGGTTGTGTTTTTACATTAAATTTAAAAATTATAAAGACCTACTACGTTCTATCAAAACAAAGTATATTTAAAAGGTTTTAAGAGAATTTATAACATATTATTAGTAATTCGACTGGCATTCCTACAAAATTCACTTTGCCTACTTATAAGCTAAATTAATACTATTGTTTAATTTTTATTTTTTTTAAGTCATGTGAATTTAAATAACTATTTTCAGGAAAGTGAGTTTCCATTACAATCCAATGATAATACATCATTGCAACGAGTTAAATGTGGAGAACGTAAAGTACCTCGCCATGGACAGCAATCAAAACATCTTCATTGGCAAGTCTAGAGGAGCTTGTGACAGAGCAGCTATAGACTCTTCTGCCGTTACGTGAACCATGCTCCAATGGCGGTTTGGTTGGGTACAGGGGTCATCGTTTTGTTTTGTTTTTTTGATGATTTTTACCTCCCCCCCCCCCCTCCGTCACACATCGTCACAAAAGGTCTACACCCCCTAAACCGACGTCACACCTCAGCCTACTACTCCCCTCAAAATTGCAGTTGAATTTTTCTTAAAACATCGATACCTTTCCGAAATCTTGTCTGAACTCAGTCAACAGAGTATTTTTATCAATTTCTATTATAACTTATTAAACCAGTTTTCTAAAACGCGAAATAACTGCTAAAATACGATTTCTAACATTGTTTTTATAACTCAAAAGTGTGACGTCACATCATCGGAACCTCCTCCCTCCCCCTCATCACACACCGTCACAAATTACGGACCCCCCTCCCACCTTCGAGTGTGACGTCATATATGGACGACCCCTACAGTGCAGGTGGTGGTTGTGAAACGTATAGAGGATATTTAGACCCTGTTTGTTCTTTACTAGTTGGATGTTAGATATATGCAGTGTCCGTGGTTATTTTGGATGTTAAAATTAATAGGTGCAAGCTGTTTATTGGTTAATTTTCTGCCTAGAGCGCATCAGCGGTTTGGAGACAGAGGGGCCCTATACATGGGCAACATCAGGCTCTTCGTAGATTACTGTCTATATCTTGCGTTTTGATTTCCAACGCGTAATGATCTAAGTTTCTATGGAGTAATTTACTTAGTCTAGTTTTTTCATCATTTTTACAAAAATTATACATATTTCAATAAATGCACCAGAATGTTTGAAGCGTACGTGTATTATACTCTGGCTTACATAAAATAACTTTCAAATGTATATTCATAATTATTATAATCTATCCACGAGTTTAATGTATTTTATATTTTACTACATTATAGATGCGAAATTTCAAAGAAAAATTAAACATTTGTATTGATGCATCTTTGAAGCTATATTTTCAAGGACAATGTCCATCTTCATATTAATGTATATGTTAAAAAATGTAAAACTCCTTAATTACTGTAAATCTTTTGAATGTCTTGTACATTTTAATCTAAACATGTTCCTGTAAAAAACTTACAAAGTCAAACTATTTCCAACAATCATCTCCAACTTTTAAAGTGTAACTTTTATATAATCATTTATGAATTTCCTAATAAGTAGTCTAGAGTTAATAAAAGTTTAGTGTCTAAACATTGAGTTGGTATAATTGTTTGCATGTTGTTATAGAGATTTATATAAACATTGACAGAACAGTAAAGGAGGTAAAAAAAAAGGCCGTTCATTAACGGTGGCAGTTTTTTTTTTAGCTATCGATAACCTACAGTCGTATAAATGTTACTCTTAAAACACCCCCCCCCCCCCCAGCTATATTGAAATTGTTTTATTAATTACCTTTTCCATCTATCTGCTACCGTATTCTGTAGCAAACAGCAAATTACTAAACGTTAAACATATATATCCCCATTGTGATTTGATCAATTTTAATTGAATTATACTCCTACTACTCTCCTACTATTGATAATAGCTGTGATGACTGTACTGATAGTTTGCTCACTCTCTTAGTCACAGTTTGTGAGAAGACAACAAGATTATTGGATCTAACAATTTCTATGTTTAGTACCTGTAAAGGCAACTAAAATAATGCACTACCACACTTACGCAATATAGACGGAAACAGGGGGGTAGTAAAATTAATGATAAGACTATTTTGACTGAAGTAAAGAACTATTAAAGTAGGTGTGTTAAATTTGTATTGGTCGGCGTCACATCTGTTGTACTTTGGCAGTCCGTATAATAGCTGGCAATGGTCTGAATATAAATATTATGTGACTTGGATGTGTAGAATTCAACACAAAAAGGTAAGTAAAGTGAAGTAAAGTTCCCTTTCGAACCTGACGGTCTATAGGGCAAGTGAAGTGGTTTTCACTTGTTTCTATGACCTCGGCATATGTAGAGATAATGTGGTCAGCAGTATGCCCAGCCGCCTAACGTGAGTTAGGTACACATCAAAGTTAAGGACAGTCTACTGACTTGAACCCGGATCCGAACTCGAGATTTACGGGTTAGCGGTCCAGCTCTCTACCGCTAGACCACTCCTTCCCCATACATAAGGGTAAATCAATTTTTATTTCTATTAAAACACTAGTAAGTTTTATTTTTTTTAAACAACCCATTAACTGTTTTCATTTTTCGCGTTTTTTAATGTGTATTTTTTATGCTAAACTGTTTTTTACCAGGGCGGTAAACAGGATTAACGTATTGTCTGTGTTCCTATTATACAACCAATGTCACAGTTTGGCTAAATACCAAGAAGTAGACCCCAAAATTATTCCCATAATTATACTAATAGAGCACGTCAACAAATCAGATTTACAACGGTACGAAATATAATAAATCCAAAACATCAGCCTTGGAACACCGCAAAAAAATGTAAACTGCAAGACAGTAAACCTTAGTGAATACCTGACTTAACAATGATAGAAGAACTAAAACACCAAATATATCACTAAATACATATACATCACCATTTTGCGACAACGCCACCAGCAGCAAGTTTAGATACTACACAAAGTTAACACTACGAGGCTACTAATTACTTTCAATACAACTATGCCAACAAAAACTGACAACTCTACTAGAGCTTCCTATCTTACAACTTGTGAAATTCAAAGATAAAAACTTACTAAATATCTTCACGTCTGAAATATACAAGCATACATTCATCATAAGTTTACTCACACCAACGCACCAGGTAATTCCAGTACACTATATCTTCCAGGAAAATTAACACAGACAAAACTTGAATCGTTTGGGGAGAATGGTCAGACATTCTTTGAAAAATAGGAGGAGATGTTGGACGACGCATACAGTGGTCAATATAATAAAGCTTGACAAAGCCCGGAGAATCTTACGCTAAACATTTCTCTCTGAACATAAACGTATTATTTACTTTTTGCAGGTGTTGATTAATTTAATTATAAAACTCTATTAGTGACTTGAGAGTAATTATTAAAACTATTCTGAAATATATTCAACTACCTCTGACTTGTTAAATCGAAATAATCAAAATAATTTCAATTTTAGAATATGTGTTCCAAAATATACATCTGCTTCTTACCAAATCAGTATGATGAGCATAAAAATATCGATTATAGTGATATCAATTTCTTTTTCAAATTATGTAGGGCTTAATAGTCTAGTTACATGACAAAATTTCTCGGCTGCCATAATATGCAGGCAGCTATTACCCAAACGCTCGGGTTTATCCATTAAGTAAATGGGGAATCCCCAGTAATATTTTTAGCTATTTTCACCTGATCGATGTGTCAAATGACATTGTACTGAAAAGAGCTGGTGTGTATTCCTTGTCGACTAGTAGTTGGGCTAGAGTTCTTTCTACGTTGTTGGTGTGCTGTTTACGTCAAAAGGTACAGTACTCGATTTAATGTAATTTATTTATGTTGAATATATTGTATATTATGCCTACATGTTCTTTATATTATATTACATATTATTTCTAACAGCGATTCATCATTAAACATTCATTTATTTGAGGTCTACTGGGTTGTATTTTTTAATCGACCAAAAATAGAACTAAACAGGAAGTCAACATTAAAATAGTCACAAGCAACGCTGGTAGAAAATATTACAAATTCGATTTCAAATACTTAAGGGTGACTGATTTCTATTAACTTACTTTTAGACACTCTCTATAAATCTTATAGCAGGAATAGATAGCGCAACAAGTCAGAAATAATAGTTAGGGAAATTTAATTTGTACTAGACGACCCAGTTTCCAGTCGGAAACGGTCTGTAGGCTGCACTGCACAAAACAATATCCCATTTTCTCACCTCACCCTTTATAGTCGTTTAACCCCAAATGAATCCATGTTCCTAGACCCGAACTCCCGTCCAGTGTGTCCGAAAATTAATTTTCATTCCAAAAACCAATTTGCAATAGGTAATAATTAATATTTGTACGATAACTGTTGCTTGACATTATATAGTACGATAAATAAAAGTTCATTTTTAAACATAATTAGCGTAAGTAGAAAAAACAGATAAATTACGTCAAGTATTGAAAGATATTTATCCACACATAAAATACTTCAATCGCTGTGAGCCTCTAATGTCACTATTGCAGGTCACAGTGATTTTATTTTATTTGAGATCGATTTTTCTTTTTTATACTAACGTTTTCTCGGAGCCAAGTTCCTAGTACATGTCTTTCCCAGTTCTGACTGCCACTGTTCTTATTCTGTAAGCTCATGCAACATTTATTGGAAACGCAATCGTTCGATAGAAATGAAAAATCGTGTGAACCCGCGGCGTATGTTATCCAATGTAAAGATTTAGTGGAGTTTTTGTTATTTGATATTTGAGTTTATGTAGCTACTTTGCATGTGTGTAGCTTGTTTATTTTTTTATTTGTCCATAGGTCAAGTCCGGACATTCTGAAACAAAATTAACCGAAGATGCTGTCGATCATGAGTCAAAAACCAACTACTTCGCAAAAACAGTTAGAGGAGAATGGACGTAACTTAATAATAAAAGATATATTATCAGGTTTAGGCGTTGATTTAAACTATAGAGATTCACATGGGAAAGCCCCTTTACACCAATATGGAGAGACAAACAACTTAATTATGGGAGCACTTTTGTTAAAAGGGGGAGCAGATGTTAATATCAAAACAAAAGGGTATGATCGAGGAAAAACTCCTTTACATATAAGCGTTGAAAGCAATCACGTAGAATTTGTTAAACTTCTGGTGGGATGTAAAGCAAATGTCAATGCACAAGATGCTAAAGATCAGAAAACACCTTTACATAGTAGTGCTGAAAAAGGAAACAAAGACATTTTTGATATTTTGTTGGCTGCAGGCGCAGATGTAAATCTGGCAGACAGGAGAGGTATGACAGCTTTACATGTAAATATTGAAGATGGACAAGAACCTTGGATACACACGGATATTTTATTACTTTCTCCTAACGTACCAGACAGATCAGAGAGAGAAGGTAAGCTAGTTGATAGTCTGCTCGATGCAGGTGCTAATGTAAACCTGGCTGACAAGGAAGGTAGGACAGCTTTACATATTGCTGCTGATCAAGATTATGTGAAAATCGTCAAGCTGCTTTTAGATAGAGGCGCGGATATTAATAGAAAAGACGTTAACGGATGTACACCGTTACACTATTGCGCACAAAATAGGAAAAGTGATATGATCGTTTTTTTACTTGAAGCTGGAGCTTCAGAAAACATCAGAGACAACGAAGACCAAACAGCTTTACACTACGCTGTCCGATTCATGAGTAATGAATCAGTTAAAACACTGGTAACGTGCAATGATATTCTTGACATAACAGACGTAAATGGACAAACAGCTTTACACTACAGCGTACAGAAAAACTACAGAAATAGCGTCTTGACAGAAACTCTGTTGAAAGCAAGGGTTAAAGTAAATATCAGAGACAAAGAAGGTAAAACGGCTTTACATTATGCGGCCATGTTTGGATATAAACAAACAGTTCAAACACTGCTGAAATATACAGATGGTCTTGACATAGGAGACAACTTTAACCAAACAGCTTTACACTACAGCGCCAAAAGTGGTGAAACAGAAATCATGGAGATGTTACTGGAAGCCGGAGCTGGTGTTGACGTCAAGGATCAGTACGGGAAAACCCCGTTGCACTACATAAATAATTCTTACGCATCTGAGGTCATTAAAGTGCTCATCCAACATGGTGCTAACCTTGACATTGTTGACTTTTTCGGTCAGACAGCCTTGGACGTGGCTGCTCAAGAAAATCACTATCATGCCGTTGAAGTTCTAAAACAGAACGGCGTTAAATCTTCAAAAGAAAACCAAGAGGAAATAAATACTGTGTTGGACTGTTCAATATTTCAAGAGGTAAAATCAACGATTGGTGAGTTTGTTTCGACAATTCATTTTGTGTTTAATTAATGAGTACATTTACTTGAAATGATGATGAATCCTTCATATGTCTCAAGTAATGTGACAATTTATGTGACAATTTATTATTAAGAATTAATTTTAATGGATTTGGATTTTTAATTAGAGCACAGTTTTAGCTATAAAGTAGCATCAAAGCATCAAATAAGCAGGCGCAGTGGTAAATATTTTTTCGTTGTTGAAAAGAAAATTATAAGTTTAGAAACGAACAAAAATTGAATTATAATTGCCATGAGATTCAGAGAAAAAAATTTAAAGAAAGAGTAAGAAATTGTATTATCCTTTTTTTTCAATCATAGAAGAGACTTACTTTACCTAACGTTTTAATGTATTGCAGATACAACACCAATAGATTGGCCCAAAACGACTCAATGTGCAAATGTTGATTTTAGCCAAAGTTCCGATGACACAACAAGCACAACAACAGGTTAGTTCTAACTATTAACTATTTTAATTTACTTCTAGTTATACAATGGATGATTTAAATTCTAATGGAATAAACAATACACTAGGGCTATTCTCCTGACACGTTTCCCTCAACGTTTCTTAATTGCATGCAACTGTAGACGTTTTAAAATTATCTTTTTTTTGTAGCTGGTACATCATTTGCAAGTGGAAATACTACCCCAAGTACTTACACTGCACCATCTATGGAAACAACACCAACAGCTTCTATCACTGATCCAGATGCAAGTGATGATACTACCCCAAGTACTTATACTGCACCATCAATTGATACAGAAGCATCAGCTTCTTCAACTACTACAGAAGCAAGTGATGAGACTACCCCAAATTCTCATACTGCACCATCTATAGATAAGATACTGACAGTTGGTACCACTACTATACCAGTAGATACTGTTGCTACTACCACAAATCCGGATATTACAATACTAGCAACCCGTACTACAACTACAGATACATCCACCAACACAGCTAAACAATTTGAAAATTTCACGAAGTCGACTGGTGAAAATGAAAGCTACCAAAATCACAACTTATCACAGACAAAACAGCAAATGATAAATGGGAATAATCAGACACTCCTGGATAATCGTATGAAGATATTGGACCAATCGGATACTTTTCATGATCATTCAGCTGGACTTGGTCTAGAAAATGCACGTATGTAAAAAAATTAAACTTATATGAAAGATAAATACCTATAATTTTAAAAATCCATATATTGGTATTGTTAAATGATAAAACATGTTGCTATTTAGATAAACAGGATACGATGGATATTCAGGAAACGACTGGCGTCCTTGGTGCCACCAAAAACAAGGAGAAAAGAAATAAGAATTATCCAAAACAAAACACTATGGGTGAGAGCTGCATAAGTATGTGGAAGATACGAAACAAACCCGAATAGATATACATTTAATTTTTAACCAATACCAGATTGTTTTCACACATAGAAGAGACTTACTTTAGCTAACGTTTTAATGTATTGCAGGTAAAACACCGATAGATTGGGGCACAACGACTCCATGTGTAAATGTTGATGTTAGCCCAAGCACTGAGGACACAACAACCACACCAACAGGTTATATCACAACAATAGATGTTACAACCCCAATTATGGATACAGCATCAGCTACCAATGTAACATCAACAGCTTGTACCACAGCAGCTGATGAATCTGATGATACTACCACAAGTACCGATACTATTCCAGCGACAGTCACAACCACTATAGCCTACACCACGTCTACACCAGCTACAAGTACAAACTCCACAAAGCAAATTACCAGCTACACAACTACATCAACAAACGTTATCAAAACTACACAGCTTAAACACCCACGTAAGTCAACACATAACATGTATAAAAGCCACCAAAAGTATAACATAACACACCCATCTCTAGAAACGTTGGTGGAGAATGGTCAGACATGCTTGGGAAAAAATATGGAGGCGTTAGACGACTCAGTCAGTGGTCAAAATATTTTAGCTCAACTAGGTCGAACAAATGGTAATGTCAACATTCTTACTTTGAATCTATAAGTATTTATTATAGTAAGACTTTACTTATTGAGATAATACAACTGTTTTATTTGTATTAGATAAACAAGACATGATGGTCAAACAAGAAAAGACTAGACTCGGAAGCATCGTCAAAAACAAAACGTTCATACGAAATAACGATAAAAGAAAGAAAATGTATGTTGAAGTTTAAATAGTTTAAACCTATTTTTTTAATTGCATTTTGACTTTCAATTTTTACATCATTTTAGTTGTGTTTTTTTTAATAACCAACTTAAATTTAAACAGTATTTTAATTATTGCTAGATTAAATTAATAAACTTTTATTAATTTTTTTTTAAAATGTGAAACCAAGATTACAAAGACTTAAAATTATTACACAATTTACCTTAACAATTTTTTCTTATTTTAGCCTTAGACATATACAACGCTAATTTTCACATTAATTTCAGCTTTGACAAATTGGTAAGACACAATTCTAGTGACCATATTGAAAATCCTACAAAGAGTATGAGAAACAGTTCGTCGGTTAGGAAGCCTAAAAAGGGCGAAAGTAACCTGTTAAGAAGTGGTTCAGCTGATTCTTTAGAAAGTAGTACGAAATATTTTAGAAAACGGATCCGAACCAGCATAGATGATATGAGGCATCAAAGTTATATGAGTGCCAACGATTACAGAAAAAAATGTTTCTGGAAATATAAACCATACCATAGGAAGAGAATGAAAAATACAAATCTAAAATCTACGGGCCTTGATTTAAACCATTCTACAAAGCCAAACACGTTAGAATGGAGCGACATGGGCTATCATAACGAAACAAAACGAAAAACACAAATGCTAAGAGAGAATGAAGTTTCCCTTCCAGTAAAAACTGTATTAAATACAGTTCAGTGGGCGCTGAGTACTAAAATGACAAGAAATTGTGGAAATACAGTAAACACGATAGTGTAAGTTGCAAAAATGTCATTTTATCGAGACAAAACTAGGTTGCACATGTATACATAAATATTAACTTAGAGTAGTCTTCCAATAGCCTATTGCAATATCTTAATTTATAAATTGAAGTAAAATAATGTTTAGATGATGTACATATTATCATTGTTTCAGAAATGTGAATCTAAATTACACTGCAAATATAATTCGGGACTGCAGCGAGGTGAATATTGAGAACGTGAAGTACTTAACCATAGACGGCAAATTTGGTGGCCAAGATGGGTAACAGATGAACATCTTCATTGGACAAAATTGGTGGGGAAGACGGGGGAAAATCTTGATTGGACAAAATTGGAGCAGCGTTTGAAAGGGCACTCGAGTGTTTAAATCAGATTTAGATTAAGTTGTATTATAGTTGTTTTAATTTTTTTAATCGGTGTAAGCTGTTATAACGTAAACTATTTTCGCTTTAATAAAAGTAAAATAGAAATTAAAACTCATGCATCAATACTTTTAACACCCTACATTCAAAGCCAATTTCTTTTTTGTCAGAGGTTTTTATTTATATAGAAATTGTTTTCTATTGACTCACATTTCAATCTAGATATAGATTATATGCTAAAAGTCGAACATAGACTAGATTTCAACAATCATTATCAACAATAATTGTACCTTGGGACTTCTAATTGTCTTTATTTATATTCTAAAGCAAATAAACAAAATTGAACCCTCTCTTTCTCTCTCTTTCTCTCTCTCTCTCTCTCTCTCTCTCTCTTGCTGTCATGTACCACGAAATAGAGTAAAAGCCTAGAGAAGTGAGATGGTAACATAGAACAGATGCGTTACAAGAAGATGCCTTTGGAGAAATTACATCAGTATCAGGTTGTTTGGAGGGTTCGGCGTCTTCATGTCAATAAGCTCATGGTTTCTAAACCGAAAAGTCCTGAGTTAAAACCCTTGGGCATATGAAGTTCCACAGCTGGGACAGCAACTTCTATGGGAGACAACTCCGAATTCAAACTGCGGCTTTGTAGTTTATTCTTGGTTTCAAGGAATTATCTTCTGGTCTCTCGACTGCATTTTCACTCGTATATATAAAATATACAAAAAGTATTGTAGTGCAAAAAAAAATCGAGATTTTCGCAAATCTCGACGTTTTACACCTCCTTGAGTCGGAAAAACATAGTTTTGCAATCTTGTCTGTATTTCTGTGTATTTGTGTGTGTATTTGTGTGTGTCTGTGTGTGTGTGTAAACACGATAACTTGAGTAGGCCTACCTTTATAGCTAAGTTGATGAAATTTCAAATATAAGTATTATATCAAATTTTTAGATCCTTATCAACTTATGAGCGATTTCTGATAAACTAAAGTGGAACTTCTGTCAAATTATGGGTAATTTCCGTTGACCAGAAGTAGTAATTTACGCTACTTCCGATTTCTCAAAAAGGCATGTGAATTTATAAAGTACTAATAATATTCCGCACTATTTTACACATTTTATTTGGCGATCACTTGGTGTGCGATTCTTTTTTCTACGAGATTCTATTCTATTTTTAAAAGTTTAAGTAATTAAAAATGTATTTAAAATATTGTTGTTATCCCCCGTAGTGTTTTATTAGAATATTAGAGAATGTTTAGGAGAGATCACTCCCGGTTTATTACTTTTAATTTACAAATGTGAAAAGTTCACAAATAGATAAGACACACAGTAGTTTACACACTCGCGCATATTTTCTTTAAAAAAAAGACTTTACATAAGTATACCCACAACTTCAACACAGTCTTGACCAACACATTTACACAAAACTGATACAAAGTCTCGCTACGCACATTTATACAGACAACTGGTTTACACTACTTGCAACACACATTTACACACAATTTATACATAGTCTCGCTACACACATTTATACACAAAACTGCCACACACCCCTCTAGACCCACATAGCATAGCTGTAAGATGTTGTGTGCTTACCGAATAAAAAATAGGGAAACGCAACAATGCTATCATCGATTCTTATAAGTAGTCTAAGAAAGACGTGTTGTAGATAAGAAATATACAGAAAAATTATGTTGTGTGTCCTTCTAAGGTCTGGTTTTCCTGTGTGTGCCTACATTCTAGACTATACACTGTTCTTGTAGGGATACGTCACAAAGATAAATACTTTGATTGCATGTAAGTCATTTATGTGAACATTATTATATTTTATGCTAAAATATGCTTTCAATAAATCATACATTATACAATGGGCACATACAGAGCTAAAACCTTTCTGTGTCAATATTTAGTAAGACTTTAATTTAATTGTTATTATAATTTTAACAAAGAATTAAATTAAAACGGTAATGCGGATTTAAAAATAAATGTGTTAATTCCAATAAATTGTGTTATTGTGAGAACTAAGTTGGTAATCTTTATACCACCAACACATCATTGAATTGAAACTTAAAGTTATTTAAATTTGGGTTGGTAAGTAAAGATCCTCTTTAGACTAAGCGATCCATTGGGCAGATGAAGTAGAGTTCATTAGTTTCTTGACTCCCATATATGAAGGGATAATGTGGTCAGCATTATGCCCTGCCTCCATTACTTTCCCCTGCAGGTCAGGTACCCATAAGAGATAAGTGGTCTCATGGACGTCATTTAGCCAAAAGTCCGTACTGAGATCCGAACTTCAGGTTAGCGGGCTAGCAGCAAAGGGTCTAACATTCGACTATACCTTGCGATAATTAAGACTAAAGAAGTCAGTTAATGGTGATACTGCTAGCAGTTGTCTGTATAAATGTGTGGGGCTAGGCTCAGTGGTAGTTATTAAACATGCTTATTTTATTCGTTAAAATAGGTCAAGTGTAAACGTATCTCCACTCCAATAAACCAAATATGCTGTCATTCCTCGATCAACAAACCACTGCTACAAAAATATTTTTTGAGGATCAAATAAGCACAAAAAATTACAAACAATTTAAAAAATTGTTACAACAAACTTTACACCTTCAAAGTGTGGACTATTTGTATTTTTTTCTCTTTGTTATTCAAGTTGTTTTCTTTACACTTATATTAGTCAAAAAATCAAGGAGCAATATTTCTTTAAAAAATGGGACTATTTCCTACTTAGCAAAGAAATGTATTAGCAAAGCGATAAACAATTTACTTTCATTACTAGACATTGACTTAAACCGTACCGATTCAGATGGGAAGGCTCCTTTACATCATTACGCAGAGAAGAACAACGTCAGTTTTGGCAAGTTGTTATTATATTGTGGAGCGGATGTTAATGTCAAAACAACAGGGCGATATCCAGAAAAATCTCCACTATATATTAGCGCTGAAAATGGTCACAAAGATTTTGTTCAGCTTCTCGTGAAATGGAAAGCAAATGTCAATGAATTAAATGGTAATGAAAAAAAATCAGCTTTACATATGTCTATTGAACGCGGATATGTGGAAATAATGGATATTCTGTTGGATGCAGGCGCTGGTGTAAATCTGGCTGACGGGAGAGGTGAGACAGCTTTACATTATGCTGTTAGGCAAGGAAGTTCGAAACTTAACAGGATGTTTTATGAAAAAGATACGATTATTCGCAATGCTAGCTTTTTGGGGCAAACGGCTGACTTGACGAATTGGACAGCTTTATATACTGCTGCTGTTAACGATAGTAAAAAACTCATCCAGTTGCTTTTAGATAAAGGCGCGGCTATCAATAGCATTGACAATTTTGGACAAACAGCTTTACATTGCGCGTCACAAAGTAATTCAAATGAAATTGTCGAATTTTTACTTCAAGCTGGAGCCTCAGCAGATATCATAGACAACGGTGGGCGAACAGCTTTACACTGTGCTGTTGAGTACGCGAGAAATCCCGTAACAGCCTTAACACTCATAAAAAGAACAAGCGTTTTTGACATCGGAGACAGGTTTGACAACACAGCTTTACACTACAGCTGTCGGGGCGATCTTAAAGAAGTTGTGGAGGCGTTACTAGAAGCTGGAGCTGATGTTGACCGCAGAGATAAGTTCGGGAGTACTCCATTGCACTACAGTGTAATGTGCAAGCAGGTTGAGACCATGAGACTACTTATCCAACGTGGCGCTAATCTTGACATCACAGATAATAACGGTCAGACAGCTTTGGATGCGGCCACTACGATTTCAAACAATGAAGCATTTGCTGTGCTAAGACAACATGGAGCTATGTCATCAGCAGAGATTAAAGAGAAGAACGACAACACTGTTGTGGAATGTTCAACGTTTATTGAAGTAAAACCAATGACAGGTGAGCTTGTTTGAATTTATTTGATATGTCTGATTACAGTTGCATAAAATAAGGAAAACTCACTTCTAATTACAATTTTTTGCATGACAAAGTTTATCATTTTATTATATCTATAATTTCACCTTTATTAGAAAAGTTGATCTATATTGAGTTTAACAGCTATAAATATGTTGCACAATATATAAATTTTTCTCATTTTTATTAAATGTTAAAGCGTAATCATAAATCAACGTCTCTTATGATGATTATTAAATCAACATTTTTTGTCTAGATATTTAACTAGCATACAGTCCCATCACACATCCCTTTATTATTCTAAGACCTTTCAAAAATATTTCATAATTTCATGTAAACTATAAATCACAAAACTTTCAATAAATAATTATTTTGTAATGCAGAAACAACTTCATCACCAAGTATTACAACGCCACCAGCTTCTACTTATACTCCATCTTTAAGTGATGAAACTACCCCAAGTAATGACACTACACCATCTATGGATACAACACCATCAGCTTCTTCCGATGCTCCAAATGAAAGTGATGATACTACCCCAAATTCTGATAATGCACCATCTTTGGTTATGACACCAACAGCTTCCACAACTACTCTAGTTACAAATAATGATACTACACTATCTCTGGATACAACACCTATAGCTGCTACCGCTATACCAGATGCAATTGATGATACTACCCAAAGTACTGATACTGCACCATCTATAGATACAACACCAACAGCCTCTTCTACTACACCAGATGCAAGTGTTGAAACTACCCATAATACTGACATTGCACCAACTGTAAAAACACAAGAAAAAATTAATATCAATAGTGTCGACATATTGGAGGAGAGCTACATCGAGAATGTTGAAGATACCAAACGAACACAAACAAAATCTGTGACTCAATTAGATGACTATTTTCCATTACTTGATTTTAAAAATGTCATTGAGAAAGAAATGGCGAAAATGTCCGAAAATGTAAAGGCAAGAAGCAGCGGAATGACGGTTATGTAAGTTTGAACAATTCTGTAGTGTATTAAAATATAGAGGTTGTGTTTTTACATAAAATTTAAAAATTATAAAGGCCTACTCGCTGCTTTTTCTGTCGTAAAAGCCAATAGAGCTACGTTCTATCAAAACAAAGTATATTTAAAAAGGTTTTAAGATAATTCAAAACATTTTATTAGTAACTCCATTAGCATCCCCACACCATTTTCCTACAAAATTCGCTGTGCCTACTTATATACTATATCATTATTAATACTATTGTTTAAAAATAATTTTAAAAATCATGTGAATTGAAATAACTATTTTCAGGAATGTGAGTATCCATTACAATCCAAAGACAGTACATTGCAACGAGTTAAATGTGGAGAATGTAATGTTCTTCGCCATGGACAGCAATCAAAACATCTTCATTGGCAAGTCTAAAGGAGCTTGTGACAGAGCAGCTTTAGACTCTTCTGCCATTACGTGAACCAGGGGTCATCCATAAATGTCGTCACGCTTTTTTTAACTATATTTTTACCTTCTCCCCCCCCCCCCTCCGTCACACAACGTCAGAACCACCCACCCCCCTAAACTGACGTCACACCTCAGCCTACAACTCCCCTCCAAATTGCAGTTGAATTTTTCTTAAAACATCGATATTTTTTTCAAAATCTTGTTTGAACTCAGTCAACATAGAGTATTTTTATCAATTTCTATTATAACTTATTAAACCAATTTTCTAAAACGCGAAAAAACACCTAAAATACGTTTTCTAACATTTTTTTTATAACTCAAAAGTGTGACGTCACATCATCGGAACCTCCTCCCTCCCCCTCATCACACACCGTCACAAATTACGGATCCCCCTCCCGCCTTCGAGTGTGACGTCATATATGGACGACCCCCACAGTGTAGGTGGTGGTTGTAAAACTTTGATATTTAGACCATGTTTAATCTTTGCTCGGGAGTTGTTAGTAATATGCCATGCCCGCGGTTATTTTGGATGTTAAAATTAATAGTTGCTAGCTGTTTATTGGTAAATCTTCTGCCTATGGCGCATTAGCTGTGTGGAGAGAGAGGGGGCAAAATACATGGGCAAAATCAGGCTCCTCGCAGCTTACTGTCTATATGTTACGTTTTTATTTCCAAGGCGCAATGATCTAATCTTGTAATTTAATAAGTTTAGCTTTTTCCATCAGTTTTCACAAAGATTAAATCAACAAAATATACATATGTCGATAAATGCACTAGAATGTTTTAAGCGTACGTGTATTATACTCTGGTTTATATAAAATAATTTTCAAATGAATATTCATAATTATTACAATCTATTCAGGATTTTATATATTATATATTATATATATATTTATATTTATATATATATATATACAGTAAATACATAGTCCTATATTTAAATATAAATATATATATATATATATATATATATATATATATATATATATATATATATATATATATTAATATAAATATAATATATATTTATATATAGGCCTATATATAAATATTTATATATAATAATAATATATTTATATTATTGTATATATGTTTTATATATATACATATATTATATCTTTTATATTTTACAACATTATAGATACAAAATTTCAAAGTAAAATTAAACATTTATATATTTTCAATGGACAATGTCTATCTTCATACTGATGTATATGTTTAAAAGTTTAAAACTCCTTAATTACTGTAAATTTTTGAATGCCTCTTACATTTTAATTTAAACCTGTTCCTGTACAAAAATTTAAAAAGTCAAACAATTTCCAACATATCACTTTTAAAATATCACTTTTATATAATCATTTATGAATTTCCAAATATGTACTTTAGTGTTAATAAAAGTTTAGTGTCTAAACGTTTAGTTTGTATAACTGTTTGCATGTTGTAGTAGACATTTATGTAAACATTGACAGAACAGTGAAGGATGTAAAATATCGCGGTTCATCAGAGTTGTTTTTAGCTATAGATAACCTACTGTCGTATAAATGGTGCTCTTAAAACGCCAGATACTCCCCCCCCCCCAGCTACATTGAAATTTTTTTTTATTAATTACATTTTCCATCTCTCTGCTACCGTGATGACAGACTAGGAGAGCGTGCAAACTCTCTGTACTAACTGTTTCTGAGGCGACAACAAAATTAGTGGATCTTACATTTTTCTTTTGTTTAGTACCTATAAAGGCAACTAAAATAATGCACTACCAAACTTACTAAGAGTATAGAAGGAAACAGAGGAAAGGTATTAAAATTAAGTTTAAGCCTATTTTAACTGAAGTAAAGAATTATTAGAGTAGGCGTGTTAAATTCAAGTTGGTCGGCGTCACATTTATTACCCTCTTCTACTTTGGCAGCAGTGGCGTAGCGAGGTCTGGTGTCACCCGGTGCGGCACTTAATGGTGACTACCCCCAGAGGCTTAGCGATCCTTCCCGGGGACAAACTTTCAATTTTCGATTTGAACGCCCTCCCCCCCTCAAACTTTCAATTTCCACCCCACCCCTCAAACTTTCGATTTGCACCTCTTAAAACACTATTTAACACTCGAATTAATCACTTAATTACGTGGAATTATCATTTTTCTCTATATATTTTGCTGTTTGTTTTTGCATTGGTATCATCCCACTAAAAGGTATGTCTGTCGGTCTGTCTGTCTGTCTGTCTGTCTGTCTGTCTGTCTGTCTGTCTGTCTGTCTGTCTGTCTGTCTGTCTGTCTGTCTGTCTGTCTGTCTGTCTGTCTGTCTGTCTGTCTGTCTGTCTGTCTGTCTGTCTGTCTGTCTGTCTGTCTGTCTGTCTGTCTGTCTGTCTGTCTGTCTGTCTGTCTGTCTGTCTGTCTGTCTGTCTGTCTGTCTGTCTGTCTGTCTGTCTGTCTGTCTGTCTGTCTGTCTGTCTGTCTGTCTGTCTGTCTGTCTGTCTGTCTGTCTGTCTGTCTGTCTGTCTGTCTGTCTGTCTGTCTGTCTGTCTGTCTGTCTGTCTGTCTGTCTGTCTGTCTGTCTGTCTGTCTGTCTGTCTGTCTGTCTGTCTGTCTGTCTGTCTGTCTGTCTGTCTGTCTGTCTGTCTGTCTGTCTGTCTGTCTGTCTGTCTGTCTGTCTGTCTGTCTGTCTGTCTGTCTGTCTGTCTGTCTGTCTGTCTGTCTGTCTGTCTGTCTGTCTGTCTGTCTGTCTGTCTGTCTGTCTGTCTGTCTGTCTGTCTGTCTGTCTGTCTGTCTGTCTGTCTGTCTGTCTGTCTGTCTGTCTGTCTGTCTGTCTGTCTGTCTGTCTGTCTGTCTGTCTGTCTGTCTGTCTGTCTGTCTGTCTGTCTGTCTGTCTGTCTGTCTGTCTGTCTGTCTGTCTGTCTGTCTGTCTGTCTGTCTGTCTGTCTGTCTGTCTGTCCCTCTGTCTGTCTGTCCCTCTGTCTGTCCCTCTGTCTGTCCCTCTGTCTGTCCCTCTGTCTGTCTGTCTGTCTGTCTGTCTGTCTGTCTGTCTGTCTGTCTGTCTGTCTGTCTGTCTGTCTGTCTGTCTGTCTGTCTGTCTGTCTGTCTGTCTGTCTGTCTGTCTGTCTGTCTGTCTGTCTGTCTGTCTGTCTGTCTGTCTGTCTGTCTGTCTGTCTGTCTGTCTGTCTGTCTGTCTGTCTGTCTGTCTGTCTGTCTGTCTGTCTGTCTGTCTGTCTGTCTGTCTGTCTGTCTGTCTGTCTGTCTGTCTGTCTGTCTGTCTGTCTGTCTGTCTGTCTGTCTGTCTGTCTGTCTGTCTGTCTGTCTGTCTGTCTGTCTGTCTGTCTGTCTGTCTGTCTGTCTGTCCCTCTGTCTGTCTGTCCCTCTGTCTGTCCCTCTGTCTGTCCCTCTGTCTGTCCCTCTGTCTGTCTGTCTGTCTGTCTGTCTGTCTGTCTGTCTGTCTGTCTGTCTGTCTGTCTGTCTGTCTGTCTGTCTGTCTGTCTGTCTGTCTGTCTGTCTGTCTGTCTGTCTGTCTGTCTGTCTGTCTGTCTGTCTGTCTGTCTGTCTGTCTGTCTGTCTGTCTGTCCTGTCTGTCCTGTCTGTCCTGTCCTGTCTGTCTGTCTGTCTGTCTGTCTGTCTGTCTGTCTGTCTGTCTGTCTGTCTGTCTGTCTGTCTGTCTGTCTGTCTGTCTGTCTGTCTGTCTGTCTGTCTGTCCCTCTGTCTGTCTGTCCCTCTGTCTGTCCCTCTGTCTGTCCCTCTGTCTGTCCCTCTGTCTGTCTGTCTGTCTGTCTGTCTGTCTGTCTGTCCCTCTGTCTGTCCCTCTGTCTGTCCCTCTGTCTGTCCCTCTGTCTGTCTGTCTGTCTGTCTGTCTGTCTGTCTGTCTGTCTGTCTGTCTGTCTGTCTGTCTGTCTGTCTGTCTGTCTGTCTGTCTGTCTGTCTGTCTGTCTGTCTGTCTGTCTGTCTGTCTGTCTGTCTGTCTGTCTGTCTGTCTGTCTGTCTGTCTGTCTGTCTGTCTGTCTGTCTGTCTGTCTGTCTGTCTGTCTGTCTGTCTGTCTGTCTGTCTGTCTGTCTGTCTGTCTGTCTGTTTGTTTGTCTGTCACGGATTGATAAAGAACAGTGTGGTAAGTAAAACCAGGTATTTTAAAACTACCGTAATCTACTTTATACACTGAATTTAGTTATCCATTATTATTTTTTATCAATAACAGTTTATAAGCGATTGATCTAATGTCCTCCTTGTTTAAGTTTATGTTTCCATTTGTGTTATTGTTTGCGTTTATATTTGCGTGTGTGTTTATATTTGTGTTTGTGTTTAGATTTTTTAACTATGTTAAACATGTTGTTAGATATTGTTTGCTTTTAGCCAGTAATTTGGGTAATTATCTATTCAATTTATATGGACAAAGAGTTGTGTGTAGTATTATTTAGAAACGATTATAATTATCAGTGTACTATTTTTGTTGCTTAAGTAATGGAAATCTTTATCTGGCCTAAAGGTTATTTTTAAACACGAATTCATGTTGTGAAATATATATCATGGTTTTTTTGTTTATTATCTTATCTCTCTAATGTCTAATCATTAGTGGTACACAATCGTATAGAGTGACTTGTAAGGCTGACTTGCGTTGGATTCTAAGCAAATATTTTGGTGAGATACATTATAATAGCGTACACCCAAATTAACATAGATGTAAATAGTAGTTAATGAGTAATTACAATAAGTAAAAAAACTTGTACATACAATATATCCCATCACAAAAAAACGTGTTGTACCTTAAGGTAAATTAAAAGTTCTATATTATAAACAATTATTATTCATTCATCACTCCTTTATTAATTTATCAATTATTAATTATATAATTATTATTTTTACTTTCTCGTATACAAGGTATAAGGCGAATCTCGACGTTTTACACCTATCTGAGTCGGAAAAACATAGTTTTTCAGTTTTGTCCATATGTCTGTATGTGTGTATGTGTGTGTCTGTGTCTGTAAACACAATAACTTGAGTACCGTTACAGCTAGGTTGATGAAAGTTCAGATATAAGTATTATATCAAATTTGGAGATCCGTATCAACTTTTCAGCGATTTTCGATATCCGTAAGTGGAACTTTTTCTGATTTCAATTTTTCAAAACCCTATAACATGAGTACTATTTTATGCATATTAATGAAACTTCACATACAAATATTAGATCTAAATTTCTGCCTTCTGTCAAATTTTGAGAAACTTCCGTTGATCGGAAGTAGTAATTTAGGCTAATTCCGTTTCCTCAAAAAAAGAGACGCATGTGAATTCATAAAGTACTAATAATATTCCGCACTATTATACACATTTTATTTGGCGTTCACTTGGTGTTCAATTCTATTTTCTAAGGGATTCTATTCTATTTTAAAAAGCTTAAGTAATTAAAAATGGATTTAAAACATTGTCTATATCCAGAGCTGCCATCCCCTGTAGTGTTATATAAGAATATTCGAGAAAGATTAGGGGAGACCACTCCTCATTTATTTAAAAATTATTTTAATCAAATAACAGGCTCTTATTGTTAAATGTGCGATATTTAACTCAAAAAGCTGTTCGATTGTCTATAAACTATTCTGATTTTTACAAGCTTTTATTTAACTCACTCTCACTCTGTAGTAAGTCTGTCTAGATCGAAACGCCCGAGCGAAATTGCAGGCACTTTTAACTGACAGATACGGTTCGTAGTTGGTACGTGGGTCAAGACATGAAGACAATGCGACATGACATTAAATTTTGACTTAATTTGTCGCCTGATTAATTTTTATGAATGAATTAAAATGTTGTCCAAGTTAGTAGGCTGTCTCATCAAACTATTTTGACTATTATACACTAGACATCACGTTATATATTGCGTCTTCACGTTCAATAGGTGCGCAATTGTTTTTAGTCATGCGACTCTAGTGTAAATAAACCGGGAGTGATCTCCCCAAAACTTTCTCGAATATTCTTATATAAAATAACACGGAATGGGAACTCGGGCTATAGACATGATTTTTAATCAATTTTAAATACTTAAAGTTTTAAAAATAGAATAAAATCTCGTAGACAAAAGAATTGCAAACCAAGTGAACGCCAAATAAAAAAGTGCATAATAGTGCGCAATATTATTAGTACTTTAAAAATTCACATTAGTTTTTTGAGAAATCGGAAGTAGCGTAAATTACTACTTCCGGTCAATGGAAATTACTCAAAATTTGATAGAAGGTAGAGAATTAGATCTTTTACTTACATGTGAAAGTTCATTTATCTATCTGAAATAGTACTCAAGTTATAGGCTTTTGAAAAATCCAAAGTAGAAAAAGTACCACTTCCGGTTATCGGAAATCGCTCAAAAGTTGATACGGATCTACGATTTTGATAAAATACTTATATATGAAATTTCATCAACCTTGCTGTAACGGTACTCAAGTTATCGTGTTTACACACGGACAGACAGACACACACAGACATACGGACAGAATTGCAAAGCCCAGTTTTTCAGACTGGATTACGCATAAAACCTCTTAATTTTGATAAATCTGGATTGATAATTTTTGCCCGATTAAATAAGTCCTCTATACTTCGAATGTGATGAAGGACTGAGGTGTAATACGGTGAAAATTGTTAAAATTTCAATTGATTTTTGTGCACGATTACAATACTTTCTCTATACTTCGTATATACGAAAAAGTAATAAAACATGTAAAGTACTAAATAACAAGCTTTTATGTAATAATGCACTAAAAAGTAGAAAATAAATTATACATTACTATTTAAATAACTATAAAGAAAAGCGTAGGTCTCTTCGTAAACATTAATTAGAAGTATCCAATAAATACTAAAGTGATCCAAGCATTTTCTTTATAGTTATTTAAATAGTAGTGTATAATTTATTTTCTACTTTTTAGTGCATTATTACATAAAAGCTAGTTATTAAAATGTTTTTCATGAAAAAAATTTCCTGTAATGTTTAATATATCATATATATATATATATATATATATATATATATATATATATATATATATATATATATATATATATATATATATATATATATATATATATATATGTTTTGCTTTAATTACGTAAAGGTGAGGCGGTCAAGGTATGCCAATGCCAATTTGCAGCGTCCAGTTTAAGCGTACACTTTTACTTAACTGTACCAACGAGGAGAACTGATCATCTAGTGTTTAAATCAATGTCTGCTGGTGTTTTAAACATATCTGCTCTGATACTACCAAGATACAATCGAAAATAATGTCACTATTTGATCAACTGACCACCGATACGATAACTTTTTTTAACCAAATAGAAGATAGTATCCACAATATTACAGAAGATCATGAACGCATTCTATCTCAACCTTTATTTTTAACGCTTATAAAGTATTTTATATCGGACCCTGACTATCAAAATTACATGCATCAAGGTTTACCCTATTTGATTATGATTCTCTCGGTTGTATATACTTATTATACTAAAACAAGGATAAATATTTCCTGTTATAACTCTATTAAACAAAGATGTATTTCTTTTTTTATTTACGCAAAAACACCGATTCATTTCTTAGCTGAGATGGACAATAATAATTTGTTAGAAGATCTTATTTCAAGAAAGTATAGTGACATAAATAAATTGGATAACTGCGGGAAAACTCCTTTGCATATCTCCGCTGAAAGGGGCAATACGTTTTTCGGAAATCTTCTATTAAAAGGTGGAGCGGATATCCAAGTGAAAACATCAGGTTTCTTTGGGTCTGGAAAAACCCCTTTACATTTAAGTGCAGAGAAAGGTCACAAAGATTTTGTTGAACTTTTGGTTCAGTGGAAGGCATCTATCAATGAAAAGACTAAGTTTTGTGGTAAAACAGCTTTACATTTGTGCGTAGAAAATGGACATAATGAGATAGCCGACGTTTTGTTAGCTGCAGGTGCTGATGTAAATCTACATGACTATAATAATAGGACAGTTTTGCATATCAGTGCATGTAGTGGAAATAAGAAACTGGTTCAGTCGCTTCTAGAAAGAGGTGCCGATATTAATAAAAAGGATGATTACGGTAGAACAGCTTTACATTACTGCGCAGCAATGGGATATAATGCCATCGTTGATCTTTTGTTAAAATATAAAGCTTCACCAAACATCAGAGACGCCCTGGGTGAAATACCTTTACACTATGCTGCCGTCTACGAGCACCCAAAAACAGTTTCAACTTTGGTGAAATTTACAGATTTTATAGACACGGAAAACTATTGGAACAGAACAGCTTTACACTACAGCACCCTGAGAGGTCACACAGAAGTGGTGACGACGTTACTTGAAACCGGAGCTGGCGTTGACGTCATAGACTATTACGGGAAAACCCCACTGCACTATAGCGCTGAGGGAAACACTGTTGACGTCATGAAAGTGCTCATTCAACATGGCGCCAACCTCGACATTGCTGACACTTCTGGTCAGACAGCCTTGGAAGTGGCCATACAAAATTCAAACGATGACGCTGTTGCAATTCTAAAACGACACGGCGCTGAACTGTTGAAACAAAAGAGAAATAAATTCATGACACCGCTGAGATATATCAGAAGTCTAGTAAACGAAATTATTTGTTGTAAGTTTATTCTGCCTAACTTAAATCAATTACCGTTATAGATTATAGTAATATAAAATATTATTAGTTATTACTTTAAACCAAATAAACCTAAAAGAAACTATTTCGTACTATGAATGATCTAATTTAGTTGATTCTTATTCCTACCAGAAGACTGTGCATAAATTATTACATCATTATCATGTCTTTCCATTGTCTAATGTGCTCTTTATCAAAAATGAAGTCAGATTCCAAGAGCTGCGGGGGGGGGGGGGTGGAGGGGGGTGGGCTTGGAGAGTACTTCTGTTGATAATGTGTGTGGAGCCGGATGTGAGGATAGGGACAGAAATTGTAGCGTAAAATGTGTGCATTTAAAAATTAATTGTTACAAGAATGTTTGTAGTTTTTAAATACTTGTTCCTAATTGTAGTATATGTTCAAAATACCTAACTTAGATATACCGTAAGGACTACGTGAGAACAAACAAGCTGTTTCAAGTCCGAATTTGAGAAGGGGGGGGGCGGCTGTAGATTACAGAAACTAGTATAGGCTGATCGTTGAGTAGGGGTCTGAAATTTTTGGACAATGTGTCGCGATGGTTAGAGTGGGGGTAAAACTCGTCCCCAAAAGCGTTTTCCCATCTAGTTAAATATTTCTTTGTACAAAAGTTACTAATACTTTTAAACCCTGAGCTTAACAGCACGAAAATCGTAATCTTATACATGAGCACCTCCATAAATGTATATTTGAATTTCTTCAGATAGCTGAAGTGACTATAAATTTCTAAACTTTTTACTGATATTTTTTTACAGATATCCTGAGGGTATTAATGCATTTCACAAACACCAGTTTATCAGAAAGTTTTAGACTTTGTACATTTTCTACACCTACAGAAGACGAAAACAAGCATAACTTTGGTAATACTGGAATAGAAGTTTCAGCATCTGAAGATACAAGCTATGTACAAAAAGAAATTGGTGTAACAAATACAACACCCACTACAAGACTAACTACTAATACAACATCAACTAGAACACCATCCACGTATACAACACTAAATACGTATACAACATCAACTGCTAATATAACACCAACTTCTAATACATCACAAACTACAACACCAATTACTTGTATTACATCGACACAATCTGCATGGGCTAAAACTGGCCCAAGTAATGATACTACAGCAGTATTTACCAACACAACAGCAAAAACTACAGACGCCACAAGTGCTACAGAAATAAAATCAGCTGTTGAAACAAAAATCTACCAAACTTCTCTCTATTCTAAATCTACTCACATTAAGTTATCTGAATACAATTCGCGCATTCTAAAAAACACACGAGATAACTCCAGTCCAGTTCAAGAAAGCTTAACACAGACAAAACTTGAAACGTTTGGGGAGAATCGTCAGACATTCTTTGAAAAACATGAATTGTTGGATGACGCATACCGTGCTCAAGAAAATGCAAGTGTACTACGTCAAACAAACGGTAAACATTACTCATTTTAAGACAAAACATTGTTTTTATTCTAAAAGTATTCACTTTGTTCATCTTTTTAATCACAAAGTTCCATTGTTGTTTAGATAAACAGGATGTGATGGTCAAACGCAAAAAGACTAGCACCCTGAAAGTTGCCAAGCAAAAGAAAAGGAGAGGAACAAAAAAGTATGTTATTTTTTTATATTTTCGTTCTTTCTAATTTAAGGATGTAGGCTACGGAATAAACTTCTTAACTATTAAGCCTTATTTATTTATGTGTATATATGTTAGGGTACTTAGAGGAAAATATTTGCAAGCGTCTGAGACTATTCTGAAAGTATGGTTGTTACGGCAACGGCGGCCATCTTGAAAACAAACTTTTATTGAGGTCTCAAAGTTAAATAAACCTGGAGTGATCTCCCCTAATCTTTCTCGAATATTCTTATATAACTCGGAATAAAGACATGATTTTAAATTACTTAAACTTTTAAAAATAGAATAGAATCTCGTAGAAAAAATAATTGCGCACCAAGCAAACGCCAAAACAAAATGAGCATAATAGTGCGCAATATTATTAGTACTTTTTAAATTTACATGCGTTTTTGAGAAATCGGAAATAGCGTAAATTAGTACTTCCGGTCAACAGAAATTACTCAAAATTTGATAGAGGGTAGACAATTAAATCTTTTACATACATGTTAAATTTCATTTATCTATCTGAAATAGTACTCAAGTTATAGGCTTTTGAAAAATTCAAAATAGAAAAAGTACCACTTCCGGTTATTGGAAATCGCTAAAAACTTGATACGTATCTACGATTTTGATAAAATACTTATGTCTGAAAATTCATCAACCTAGCTGTAACGGTACTCAAGTTATCGTGTTTACACACAGACACACACACACACAGACACACAGACATACGGACAAGATTGCAAAATTATGTTTTTTCCGTATCAATTACAATACTTTCTCTATACTTCGTCTGTGTGTTGTGTTGTGTTTGTTTTGTGTTTGTGTTGTGGTTGTGATGTGTTCGTGTTGTGTTGTCTTTGTGTTGCGTTAGTGTTGTGTTTAGTTTTTATCTGTTATGTTCCCAAATTGCTACATTTAAAAAAGGTTTATCATGGCGGAGCACGGGTAGGCAGCTTGTTATTAATATTCATTTTAATTTGAAACAAGAGTCATCATCCTGTTAATGCCTAAGACATAAAGCAGAGTTTATCTGTTTCAATGACCTCGGCCTACAAAAGGATAATGAGGTCAACAGTTTGCCCAGTTGGTAAGAACTCAATGATGTCAGACAATTTCGATCCTGTGATCCGAACTCTTGACTTTCGGGTTAGCAGTCGTTAGCTCTAGCATTTAACCACGTCGTCCCCACAACAAGTGTTTTAGCTTAATAATTTTATGTTGTTTTTTTTATTATTGTCTAAAATAAATTTACCTGAATGTTCGCAAGAAAATCTCTGCATTATGAATTAGTTAAAACTAATTTTATCAATTTAAACCTAAGCCACACGAGGATAGAAAGATAAACAACATTTAAAAATAAAATCAGTTCACACGTGAATCCATATTGGTGTTACTGTTGGAACTTTTGTTATACATTTTAAAATTAGATGTCACAACTAGTCAATTATATACATCACTGCTAAAGGTCGTTAATAACAATGGTTTCATGTAGGCTTACAGTAAGATAATGATTAGTGGGAATCTGGCAAAAGACCTTTGTGACACTCTTGTTTACTAATATAGAAAAAAATATTACGAAGACAAAATAGAGAAATCGTATTTTGAAGTTTAGATAAAATTAAATTACTAATGTCTATACATTTTAGCTATTTTTCTTTAACTTGCTATTATAAGTAAAGCAGAAGCGTAGCGACCTAATACAGCGCCTAAGTCAAACAATCAATTTAGCACCCCCCCCCCTCCAGTATATAGTTATTCACGTTAACAAAAAAAGCTTCTCCCTATTTACAAAGGGTGTTTGCGCCTTTACTTATCCCTGTCCTTTTACAGTTTTTATTTAGATATCACAATTAATGATGGAAATAGTTAATTCCCTCTGGAAAGCAAGGCACTTATGTATTTTCTTAAGTTTGCGTATAATTTATTAATACAGCTCAGAACGATGTTTTTTATTTTCTATCCCGCAGCGGTCGCCCTCTCCTAGCTACCCTCTGAAATAAAAATCTGCATGTAGTGTTTATATTTATAGACCTCACCTGTTACAATGAAAACAATATAATCCCTTTATTTTTCAGCAATATTATAAAGAACTATAATTTGCACTGCAGGCAAATGATCATTGACAAAGTCGACTATCTAACGACAAATGGAAACCAGAACTTTTATTAAGGAAGTCATAATGTCATTACTTATGAAAGGCAGAAATATGTCATTGTTAACATGTTTAGTTGTATGTAAATAGATTAGTATGTACATTTGTAAAAAATAAAAGTAAATGTGATAGACTGAGTTGTAAAAAAACTTTTTTTTAAACTTAAAAATAGCATAGATGACATTTGTTTTAGGGATTAGGTTTCATTAGAACTTAACTATCCATGGGGTAAGTAAAGAAGAGTTCGCCTGTTTTTTTGTAACCTCTGCATATGAAGAGATAGTGTGGTCAGCACTGCTCAGCTGCCTTTACTTTCCCTAACGTGAGTCAAAAGTGGGATGGGTGGACTAATGGACTTGTACCCGAATTCGGGGTCGAGACTTTCGGGCTAGCAGTCGTATGCTCTACCATTCGACCACGTCGTCCCCATAAAATTATGGATCGTGTAAGAGTTATATTACGCTACACTATAATCAAGACCAAATTAAATATACTCAAAGTTTTCACAATTATTATTATTCTTGTATATGTGATGATTTATTCGATTAATAAAAAGATTTTTAAAAAGCACAAAGATATATGTATTTAATTAGGTATACTGAAATATATATATATATATATATATATATATATATATATATATATATATATATATATATATATATATATATATATTTGAATGACAGATTCATTTCGACCCATAAACAATACACAAAGAAGTATTAAGCACGAGAAATCAAGTGAAACAGTACCTAGCGCCCCTGCGCAATCGAACTTTTAGTTTGTCAACTACCAATTGCGTTTGAAATGACCAAGGTGTTTGAAAACATTTCTATGGTTAATGCTTTCTAAAACCATTTTTTTTAAAAACCAATTATAGCCAAGAGATTAAGAGAAGAATTTAAATTAAATTTCAAATGTGGTTCTAGGTCGATCAGTTTAACATTGAAAACCAAACGGAGAGATAGAGAAAAATAGAGACAAACGGGTAAACAGAGACACAGACAGAAAAACAGACAAAAAAATAAAGAGACACACATACAAGCAGACAAACATACAGAAAGAAAGAAAGATAGTTTGATAAACAGACAGACACACGAACAAGCAGACAAACACATGGAACGACGGACAGACGCACTGACAACAGACAGTCAGAAAGACTAACTGACTGCCTCTCTCTCTCACACACACACTGACAGATAGAAAAAAAATTGAATATCTTTAAAATGTTAATTACATTCAAAACCTCCCCGATCCCCGAAGTCCGTGTCCTAAAAATAGCACTAGCCTCACTTAACACGCACGTCTAGTGGTGAGGATTACCTTGAAATAGAGTTCTGAGTGTGGACACCTGTTGAACATTAGACCACACTCAAGGAGTTCGGTCGTGATTACAGTAAGGAAAACAGTTGACAAGATGAAATTATCTACAAGCTTATTTCTGATTTTGGTAGTCGCTTTTACCATCGTGTCTGAAGGTGAGAAATATACTTTTTTTTACCTACTACTAACGTTAGAAAATAATATTGTGATGGTGTTTGATTTGTTGTTGTTTTTTCTGCAATATATTGAGCTTTATTTTGTGGGGAACTCATTCTTCTTGTATTGGTCTTATAATGTTTGAGTGATGTCCCTTGCATGTTATGTTTCCGTTTCCGTATAAAGAATAAACAAGGTACATAAAAATGGCTTCCTCGTCTGTTGTATTATCTGTCTACAATTAAAAGATAACAATCCACTTCATTGGCGACGAGGATTAACCATCCACTAAAAAGAGCACATGCCTACTTAAGAAGAAGCTTGCTATGAGCATATTTGCTAAGTATTTGTAGGATAATGGCGCTATATGGCCAGATAAAAGAATTTAATTCGAATGAAAAAACCATTCATGATTATCTAGATAGGTTAAGCTTTTACCTTGAAGCTAACGACGTGACGATAGAAGCTAAAAAGAGAGCTGTTTTGTTAACAGTCATAGGGCCTCAACAATTTAGGCTATTAAAGGACTTATGCGCACCAGCTAGTCCAATTACCAAGAGCTTTAACGAGCTGAGCAAACTCCTAACAGACCATCATGCGCCTGCACCACCAAAGTTCGTGTGTAGAGCCAGATTTGACGGTAGGACTCGTCAACCAAACGAATCAATATCAGAATATGTTGCTGCTTTACGTCATCTAAGTGAATTCTGTGAATTCGGGGACACGCTGTCTGACAGACTATGTGAAAATTTTGTGACAGGTGTAAACAGCCCTGATGTTCAAAGAAAGTTGCTTCTCGAGTCAGATCTAACATTGGAAAAAAAATACAACTTGCAACTTCATTCCAGCAGTCATCCGATGCGGCCAGATCTCTGGCGCCTTCAGGTATCCATGCAGTAGACAGCAGGTCATTCAACAAACACCAACCCCATCAGAGCAGTTCAACTTATGCTAAACAGCCTGCAAGTTCAAATCCTAGATCTAAATCTAGTAATAATTATCAAAAATGTCATCGATGCAACGGTCCCCATGCATCTCATCAATGCAAGTTTAACAGCAACTTGCTATAAGTGCAGTAAGCAAGGTCACATTGCCAAGGCCTGCTTTGCAAAGTCTTCGTCTGTTGCTAGATCTAGCCAGTCAGGACAGTACAGCAACCAAAGGCAGCACTATGTTAACTGTCACCAAGACAGCCTAACCCAACCAATGAACCACTCTACCAGTGAAAATGCTCAAACTGATCCGCAGCCGGAGTTCAACCTGTTCTCTGTGAAATCAACAAGTCATGCTCCCATCAACGTACTAGTTTGTATCAACGGTAAGAGCATCATCTTCCAACTTGACACGGGAGCATCTCTAACCGTCATCACAAAGAAGGACTTTGACGCTGTCACAGGAGGATCAGTGCCTCTACAACCATGTCAGAAGTGCCTAACAACATACACAGGTGACAATGTTCCGGTGATAGGAGAGTGTATAGTTCATATAAGCTATAATGGTCAAAGTGTTAAACTTCCTCTTCTTGTGGTTGAAGGAAACGGACCACCATTACTAGGTAGGAACTGGTTAGTTGATCTTAAGTTAGACTGGGAAAGTATATTTTCAGTGAACAAAGCAAGAGAATCTAGTTTTACTTCAATAGATAAAGTTGTATCTGAAAATGAAGGTGTCTTTGGTAGTTCAGGGTTACTAAATGATAGGACAGTGAAGATAAGCATTAAAGACACAAATCCAAGATACTGCAAAGCTAGAGTTCCACCTTATGCAATGAGGGATAAAATTGAAAATGAGCTAAGTAGATTGGAATCTAATGGCATCATAAAGAAGGTAGACTATTCCGATTGGGCAACGCCCATTGTGCCAGTGTTAAAGAAGGATGGTTCTGTAAGAATTTGTGGGGACTATAAAGCTACACTGAATAAGCAAATAGAGCTAAATAGGTACCCTATTCTGTGGTAGATTTGTACTTAGATAGATAACACAACAGACGAGGAAGCCATTTTGTACGCCTTGTTTATTCAGCATCGGAAACGGAAGCACATGACATGCAAGGGACATCACTCAAACATTATAAAACCAATACAAGAAGAGTGAGTTCCCCTCAATATAAAGCTCAATATATTATATCCCTTTACCCTTAGTAAATAATAACATAGCTTCCAAGAGAATAAATGATAGTATCTTAAAATCACTTTGCTATTTCCTTCTTTAGTTTAAAACATTAGAATTGCCAAGCAATAATAAAAGAAAGATTGAATAATGATCCCCTTTCCATTTATGACACTTCAAAAGTCAATACAAAACATAATATGCATTCCTTCCGAAAAGTTAAACAATTTAATAAATCACTAAATATATTGTAACATGAGCATTATATGATTTGAATCATTTGGTAGATTAAATCCTTACATACAAATGCAAAATATGCTACAAACATAATTAAAATACAAAACAATTATGTCAAAGTCCTCTTAACCTTTAAAATCAAAGGTCTAACTTATCTGGGACTTTGATTGTCCTGTTTGACCTTCTCAGTGGCTGTTGATTTGGTGACTCAAGATTCTGACCATCTGGACTCTCTAGCTCAGGAAGTCCAGGATCTAAATCATTTACATTTTCTGACTTTAGAATACTTGGTTCACTCATATCAACAGAACTTGGTTGTGGAACAAACTGAGTTGGTGTGAACCGGTCAGATCTTGTGGGATTGATAGGTTCACACTTATTATCTGCGCAAGTTATTTTTAACTGGTCTGCATGTCTACGGACAATAAGTCCATTATTTGTTTTTACTTTATAAGACACAGGTCCTGTACATTGAACAATTTGACCTGGCATCCATTTTTCCTCTCTGAAGTCTGTGAGAAAGGCGTCTCCATAGGTTAGAACTTGCCAGTGAATGACTCCTCTAGTGGGGCACAAGACAGAACTACAGGCTGAGTACAGGGCTGGTAAGTAGGTCACCAACTAGTTCTACGGATCAATAAAACCTGCATGAGCCATAGAACTGGTTGATGACCTACTTACTTACCAGCCCTATAGGGAAGACTGTGTTTGGGTAGTATATAGACTATATGTAGACAATGTTTAGACAATACCTATACAATACGTAGACAATATTTATTATGTAGACATGTGTAGATATGTTTAAAGAGTTATTTGACTTGAATTAGTCAAATGACATCTCTAATTATATGAATTTATGTATACATTTTTAGAAATAATGTTGACAAGTCAGACTTAGCAACAAATTTAGTAACTGTTTTAATTTTTCTTGCGAAATACTGTTTAGCCATAAGGACACGAGTCAATAAATAGGAAACGTGTTTTACCCTTTATTCTTATTGTTTTTCATTCTACTATTTTATCTTGTGAAAATGTAAAACTTAAATTAACAAATGTTTGTTAAGTCAGTTGTACATCATTGACGGTGGCAATTTACTCATTTGATTATGTGCACGCAAAAAAACAAGCTTCGTTTTACTGAAAAACATTTATAAGGTCTCTAAACCATAAGTAAAACAGCTAATACAGAGAATTTTTTTTAAATATTATTTGTCAACATATTTTTAATTCATCTTCACATTTGCATATGTATTTTTAATTATATACTGTAAAGCTAATAAACAAAATATAAACATAACGTGTCTAAAACTTTAAATACAGGCTCCTTCTGTGTTATTGATTTGCTGTTTTAGAAGCCATAAACGTAAACATTGTAGTGAAAGCGACGTAAGCAAACTGAAAAATAGGAAACTTTCAGCCGAGGGTGACGATTGGAATTTTTTTAACAATATTTAGATTTCAACATAACATTCGCAGAGGCGTAGCGACCCTTCCCGGCGCCCGGGGCGAACTTTCAGTTTGGCGCCCCCCCCCTTATATATATATATATATATATATATATATATATATATATATATATATATATATATATATATATATATATATATATATATATATATATATATATATATATATATATATATATATATATATATATACATGTGTGTGTGTATAATTATGTGTGTGTGATAGTGTGTTTATATATAAGCTTGTGTGTGGGTAAGAGTGTATTTGTGTGTGTAAGCGTGTGTGTAAGCGTGTGTGCTACAGTCCGGACAAGGTTTAATAATTACATTGTATGATTTTCATTCCTTAAAACTTTACGACAATTTAATTCCCATTAAGATGCGTTTATCTTTTTTTGCGAAAGATTAGTAATGTCAGTAAAAAAAATAAGCCTGATCTGTGTTAGAGGGTAGTTTGTAGCTAACGCTAATATGTTTAGACCAGCCTTTTATGTTCTAGTTTTGGAAAGATCTCTGTTGTGATATGGTACATAGTTGGATTCGAAGTTTATTAGAGTAAGGACACACAAGTGACATACAAGAAGAAGGTATCAGAAATATTCATTGTTCACATTGGAATACGACATGGGTATTTCGTTGATTGGTTGATGGTATGACAAAACAAGCTAGAGAAAACAAACTGGAATCCAACGGATGTTAACAGCTCGTAGTCTTGGATTTCGCAGATTTGCCCTGCCTTCTCGCACACAGAGTTTCTTCCAGGCATCTCTTCGGGGGGGGGGGGGCGAAGCCCCCCGAAAATTGTTACCGCCCCCCGAACGAAATGAAATTTATATGATTTATATATAGAAAATATATAGCTTTAACAGTGTCCGCCCCCCCCCCCCCCGAAGAAAGTCTACCGCCCCCCCCCGAAAATTTCAAGTGCCCCCCCCCCCCGGAGAAAAAAGTCTGGAAGAAACACTGCTCGCACAACGTCAACAACAAATGCAGAACTAATTGTATTGATTGAAGAAGCAGTAACAATCAATTTAATGATAGCCCATGACGTTCTGATTATAATCAGCAGCAATAAAACGCGTTTTAACACTCTAAGAAAATGTGGAATTCAAATGCATTGTCAAAAAAATTCAATCAGGATCTATAACTAAATGTGGTCTCTTTAACTGTATGGCTTGGAGCTAGATTACAAACAGTGGAATGAAATAAGAGCATGGAAAAAAGTGGTGGATAGTGGCTTAGGGATTCAAGAATCCGTGATATTTAGTTCTCATATAGTTCAGTGATCCAGGTAAGATGTAATGCAATCAGTCAAAAGTATCTGATCTCTCACGTTGAAGTTGAGAGAATCGTAAGAATCTTACAAAGAACTAGTCGCGTCTTTTTTTTTAACAAAACTGGCTAGTGAAATTGTACATTACGCGTTAATACACTTGGTTTCTTTACTAAGTGTTAAGAGAGTTATCTACCCACCAATCCAGTACAAATACTTGCGATGTTTGTTAGCGAAAAAAGCGCCCCCCACCCCCACACACACTCATCACAACCATCTTGGACAAAGTTTGTAGAGCGGTTTTTAACGTAACTAACTTTTTTTAAAAAATGTTACACAATTATACAATGCACAGTACAATTCGTTTCTTTCTGAGGGCTAAAGGTTGTTTACTCAGAATCCAGTGTAATTTCGCTATTTTATTTAGCCTAAAAGCGCCCCCTGCACCATCTTGATAAAAGTCTCTAACGTATTTTACCGTTCAACAATCGTACAATACGTTTTAATACAATTGGTTTCTTTTAATAGTGGTAACGTTTATCGACTCAACAATCTAGTGTAAATTCTTCCGTTTTAAGTCTCGAAAAAGCGCCCCCCCCCCCCCATCTAGGGAAAGCTTCAAAGCGGTTTTGCCGGTCACTGTTTCTTAAGAGTATATGTTTTACATTAAGAAATCAAGGTAGAAAACAGTTAAATCAGTATGTAAAGGCGTGTAGCCATTACATTTCTTAACTTAGACAGTTTATAATTCAAAACTGCAGCATAAAATCAGCTTTAAAAAATTTTTACCACCCCTTTTGGCGCCCCCATAGGGTCGGCGCCCGGGGCGGCCGCCCCCCCCCCCTAGCTACGCCTCTGAACATTCGCAGCTCACCAGACTGAAAGAGTGATCGCAACTTTCTGTGTATCTTTGCTATTCATTAAAGTAATCTTTCAATTCATTTTAGAGATAAACCAAATACTAATTAAGTTGAAATTATTATACTCTAGCGTTGTAATCAGGCACTTATCTGTAGAGATTGAAAGTGATCTCTTCATTACAATTGGATCAAATAGATCAACACAGAACACCAGAACAGTTAGGTAATAAAAGCATAAATAAAGATTATAAAAATGAATAGTTGTATAAGTAATTGAATAAGTTCGTTATTCACAATAGTTATTACGGTCGTGTAGACCAATGAGTTTGATTGCATGGTGCGGTAACTCCACTCATGTTTTTTTTTTTTTTACAAATGTTGGCCAAAGTACATCATGAATGACAGCGATAAACAACCACGAGCCAAAGTTGTGTAGTCATATTGTAGATTAGACTGACCTGAACTAGCTTCTCATTTGTTTTTAAACTGCCCTGTAAATAGGTAGTAGACTATTTGAGCATTTTTAATGCTAAAAAAATCAGAATAATTTCAATTTCAGAAAATCTTTGAAAAATTTTACCAAATCAGTGAGATGTACATTTAAATGTCGATTATCTTAAGAAAAAACAAGTTTCATTTTATGTACATATACAGTGTAAAGTAATTACATAACAAAATATCTTGACCGACACATTATGCAAACAGCTGCTACCCATAGGCGTGGGTTTATCCAATACACGAAGTGGGGAATCCCCAGCGAAACTTTGACCCTTTTGTTTATCTGATCGATGTGTAAACTGTCAGTGTACAAATAAGATTTGGTGTGTGTTCTTTCAATCGCCTGATAGACTGGTTAGAGATCTTCAATCTACGTTGTTGATGTGTTGATTTCGTCAAAAAGGTAGATTATATTTGACTTATTTATGATAAATATATTGTACCTTAAATTGAATACATTTCACTTGTAGTAGTAAATTATTAACAAAATGAGTTATTTTATCGAAAAATAATAATTGTAATAGAAGTCTACTTTTAAAAGAAAATCTCCATCTATGCTTTAGTCTGTTTTGTCTTCTTTAACCTTTCACCCATCAATTATTGATAACACAATTGCTCCGAAGGAAAGCAAAATTGTGTATCTTTTTATCAAGCATCCGAAGCGTATGTTTTCCAACGTCCGAGACTAATTTGATGTTGTTTTTTTAGTTTGAGGTGGGGGCGGTTAGTTTATGAAAGCTACTGTACATATATGTAGTTATTTATCAAATTATTTGTCAATAGATCAATTCTAAACGATCCGGAAACAATACAAACCGAAGATGGTGTCACTCATGAATCAACACACAATTATTTCACAAAAACAATCTGAAGAGATTGGTAGTAACTCTATGTTAAAAGAATTTGTTTCAAGTTTAGGCACTGACATAAACAGTATCAGTTCAGATGGAAAGGCTCCTTTACATCTGTATGCGGAGACCAACAATACAGTGTTGGGGGCACTGTCATTACACGGAGGAGCAGACGTTAATGTCAAAACAAAAGATAATGGTCTAGGAAAAACGCCTTTATATATCAGCGCTGAAAAGGGTCACAAAGAGTTTGTTGAACTTCTGTTGAAATGGAAAGCAAATGTAAATGAACGAAATGGTATTGATCATAATACAGCTTTGCATGCGTGTGTAGGCTTTAAGCATGAATATGAAGATATAGCAATGATTCTGCTGGATGCAGGCGTTGATGTAAATATGGCTAACAGGGAAGGTAAAACAGCTTTACATTTTGCTGCTCATTATGGAAGTATGAGACTCGTCAAACTGCTTATACAAAGAGGCGCGCATATTTATAGAGTTGATAAAAATCATCAAACTGTTTTACATTACTGTGCAGGCGCTGGAAGAAACGATATAGTAGATTTTATACTTGAAGCTGTAGCCTCGGCAGAGAAAACAGCTTTACATAACGCTGTCAAAAGCTGTGATTTTGATACATATTTAATGCTGCTAGGACGTACACCTTTACTTGACACCACAGACGTCTATGGTAAAACAGCTTTACACTACAGCGTACAGGATGAAAATATCGTCTTAACAGAAACTCTGTTGAAAACAAATGCTGCAATAAATATCAGTGACAAAGAAGGTAAAACAGCTTTACACTGCAGCATCGAACTAAAGGACGAAAACGTCATTTTGACAGAAACTCTGTTGAGAGCTGACGCGGCGGTAAATATCAGAGACAAAGATGGTCGAACAACTTTACACTATGCAGTGATATTTGGGCTTAAGAAAACACTACAAACACTGCTGAAATATACAGAATTTCTTATAGTGGGAGACAATTTCAACCAAACACCCTTACACTACAGCTCCAAGAATGGTGACACAGAAATCATGAAGACGCTACTGGATGCTGGAGCTTGCGTTAACTTCAGGGACCATTATGGAAGAACCCCATTGCATTATTTCAATAAGAAGAATGCTTCTTCTGTCCTCGAACTACTAATACTTTATGGTGCTGACATTAACGTTCTTGACTGTTTTTGTCGGACAGTCTTAGATGTGGCTATTTTTGAAAATTGCTATGGTGCTGTTGCAATTCTAAAACAACAATACAATAAGGCATTTAAAGATCACCAAGAGAAAATAAACCCTATGTTGGACTGTTCAACATTTCCAGAAGTAAAATCAACTATTGGTGAGTTTTATCGACAATTTATTTCATGTTTTAATTAATAAGTACATTTACTTGAAATGATGATGATTCCTTCATATCTGCAAAGTAATGCGACAATGTATTATTAAGAATTAAATTATAACGCTACGAATTTTTATTTTTAATTAGAGCACAGTTTTAGCTATAAAGGAACATCAATGCAACAAATAAGCAGTCGCAGTGGGAAAAATTTTACCTTGTTGACGTGAACGCCATTTTTTTTATTAAAAAGAAAATTAAAAGTTTAGAAAGGAAAATAATTGAATTATATTTGCCATGAGATGCAGAGAGTAAATTTGAAGAGAGAAATTGTAAAAACGAACATTAAAAGGGGTATTTAAATACAATAGCACGTTAAGAAAGAAGATGATATATGAATATAAATTTAATTTTTAATCAATACCAGAGTGTTGGTATTATCAGTTGTTTTGTTTTTCATTCATAGAAGAGACTTACTTTACCTAAAGTTTTAATGTATTGCAGCTACAACACCGATAGATTGTGCTACAACGATTCCATGTGTTACTGATGATGTTAGTCCACGTTCTGAGGACACAACAAGCACAACAGCAGGTTCTATCACAACAATAGTTGTTACAACTCCAAGTACGGATACAGCATCAGATACAAATGTAACACCAACAGCTTGTACCACAACAGCTGACGCAACTCATGATACTACTATAGTTACTGATACTATACCAGCTACTGATACTATACCTGCTACTGATACTATACCTGCTACTGATACTATACCTGCTACTGATACTATACCAGCGACATTCACAACCACTATAGCCTACACCACGTCTACACCAGCTACAAGTACAAACTCCACAAAGCAAATTACCAGCTCCACAAATACATCAACAAACACCATCAAAACTACACAGCTTAAACAGCCACATAAGTCAACACATAAAATGTATAAAAGACACCAAAAGTACAACTTCACACAGACAAATCTTGAAACGTTGGGAGAGAAGGGTCAGCCATGCTCTGGAAAACCTGGGGACGACTCATGCAGTGGTAAAAAAATGTTATCTAGACTAGGTCAAACTAAAGGTAATGTCAACATTTTTATCCTTGAATCAGCAAGTATATATTATCGTAAAACTTGAATCTGTTAATTATTGAGATAATACAACTATTTTATTTGTATTTAGATAAACAGGATATGCTGGTCGAACGAGAAAAGACTCCTATCGAAAGTATCTTCCAAAACAAAAGGATAACAAGAAATAAGGATAAAAGAAAGAAAATGTACGTCGAATTTACAATAGTTTAAACATATTTTTTAAGTTGCCTTTTTACTTTTTTTTTCATCAGAACAAAATATAAAAAGAACAAATAGATTTTTTAAAAAGAATTAAATAAATCTGTATTAAACATTCTTTAAAAAAGATTTAAAATGATTACACAATTTACTTTATTAAACTTGCTCCTATTTGAACCTTAAACGTATACAACGCTACCTTTCACGTTAATTTCAGCTTTGATCAATTGATGAGGCACCATTATAGTGATGATATAAAAAATCCCACAAAGAGTATGAGAAACAGTTCGTCCATTTAGCAGCCTAAAAAGAGCGACTATAACCTGTTACGAGGTGGTTCAGCTGATTATCAAGAAGGTAGCGCAAAATATTCTAGAAAACGGAGGCATCAAATACATATGAAGGCCAATAGTTACAGAAGAAAATATTTCTGGAAATATAAAACTTATAAAACATATGATAGGAAAAGATTGAAAAAACCAAATCTAAAATCTACAAGCCTTGATTTAAAAAATTCTCCAAAGCCAAACACATGGGAATGGGGCGACATGGATTATGTCAACGAAACAAAACAAACCAAAACACAAATTCTAACACAGAATGAAATTTCCCTTCCAGTACAAACTGTGCTGGATTCGGTTCAGTGGGCGCTCAGTACTGAAATGACAAAAAATAATGGAAATACAGTAAACACGATTGTGTAAGTAACAATAATTCAATATTTTAGAGAAAAAACTAGGTTGCACATGTATACATAAATATTCACTTATAAGAGGATATGAATGGCTAATCATAATATCTTTATTTATAAATTGAAATTACTTCATAATATTTTAGATGATGTACATATTATCTTTGTTTCAGAAATGTGAATATAAATTACACTGCAAAAATAAGGGACTGCAACGAGGTAAATATAGAGAACGTGAAGTACTTAGCCATAGACGGCAAATTTGGTGGGGAAGACAGGTAGGAGAGGAACATTTTCATTGGACAAATCTGTAGCAGCGTGTGACAGTGCACTCGTGTGCTTAAATCAGATTTTGATTAAGTTGTATTATAATTGTTCTACTCATTTTTAATCTGTGTAAGCTGTTATAATTTAAACTATTTTCTCTTTAATAAAAGTAAAAGTCAAATTAAAACGCATTTGTCAATACTTGTAAAGCCAATTGCATTATTTGTCCGTGGTTTTTTATGTGTATAGAAATTGTTTTCTATTGTCTCACATTTCCATCTAGATTTAGAATATACTAGACCACCCGTCATCCTTTGTATAACTTGGGTTTTCGGGGGTCATCCATAAATGACATCACGTCTGTCACTTATCTTCACAAAAAAACCAGACCCCACATATAAAAAGACTTCACACCTCAGACGTTTTTGTCTTTTAAAACACCGATTTCGGCTGAGCATAGTTTTGACCATACTATCCCTTCATATGCTGAGGTAACAAAAACAGGTTAACTCTACTTCACCTGCCCAATGTCGTTTTCCCCCCCCCCCCCTCAATTTCAACATGTTTTTGTCTTTTAAAAATAAGATTTCGGCTGAGCATGAGTCTGACCACACTATCTCTTTATATGCTGACGTCACAGGTGAACTGTACACTTGCCCAACTCTACTTCACCTGCCCAGTGTCCCGCTAAGTCTCAGACAACATGTTTTTTATCGTTTAAAAAAAAGGTTTCGGCCGAGAATGGCTCTGACTACACTATCCCTTCACATGCTGAGGACACCTGCACTGTATCCCGCCAATGTCCGAAAGGCAACTTTATCATTAACATCAAAAACAAAAATTGGAACAAATATAACATGATCAGAAAATTTGCTTTATAAACTGTATAAACTTTTGAATGGGCAACAAATTTTTCGATTGAAGCCGCCATTATTGTTATAAAAAGTAAATAATGACGTCATTATAAGTAAAGTCAATGTTCTGAACTTTTATAAATTTAAGTGGTTAATCTACCAATGAATATATCAATAAATTAATTAACGTCTTTATATAAATTTGTAATTAACAGTTTAATCAAAAAGAACATTGTTCTCTACTTAAATGCGTATTTTACAGCTCTACACATGGTGCAGATTCTCTCATGTAACCAAACAGACAAACAAAAACAAAACGAAAAACAAACAAAAACAAAAAAATATACAAACATGTAAACAAACTTGAGTTTTAGTAGTATATAGATGCAAACAGTCGAACATATACTAGATTTCAACAATTGTTATCAACATTAATCGTACCTTCTGATTTATGATTCTCTTTATTTATATTCTCATGCAAATAAACAATACTTAACCATTTAGTATTTTACGTTTTAAGATAGTTTTCCTTTAAGTTATAAATTAAGTGATTAGTAACTTTGAATATCAGCATTTTCTGGCTGGTTTGAGGAGGTATAATATTTATAAATCCGGGGAGGCAAAATATGAAGCACAATTTAGGCATCAAGTGTTTCCATTGAGAACGCTCCAGACACAGAGTATTCTCTCTTTCTCTCATACTGTTGCCCTCTATGTATTTCTCTCTCTCTCTTTCTCTTTCTCTTTCTCTTTCTTTTTCTCTCTCTCTCTCTCTCTCTCTCTCTCTGTCACCATGAAGCAGAGTAAAAGGCTAGAGAAGTGAGATCGTAACACAGAACACATGCATTACCAGAAGATGCATTTGGAGATATTACTTCAGTATCAGGTTGCCTGAGAAATGCTTGTCGAACCTGAGACATAGTGGAACACATGACTAATTACCATTGAGATCCACAATACACATTTGTATATAATTATATGACACACATCAAGCCAAGACACACAACCTAGCAAGACACACATCATCTAATCTCAGATAGTCTATTACAAGACCAAGTTCTTTACTGATAGATTTACGTTCAGGTAGAGATTATTTAAGATATTATCCATCCTGTTCTTAAAGCATTAAAACTTCTTGAGCGAAAAGAAAACCATAGTTTACCAGGTTAGATTTTCAACTGATTAGTCAAAACAAATATCCAGGGAACTTTACTTAAGTGAGTGTCGGCAAGATCACTAATCTTTCCTATGGCGAGATCATAACAACTAGGCCTCAGTAGCGTACGCAGGGGGGAGCAGGGGGAGCGGCCGCTCCCCCTCTGGCCATTTTCAGCAAAGTGGCGCCTTTTTGGAAACTTTTTAAACTCAAAGTTTTAAACAATGATATTTGTTAAAAAAATATTTTTGGTCGGCACATCTATGTAAATCACAAGATTTCTTTTCATGCAGCAATTAAGCATTATTGTACTAGTCTAGTATTGTCTACGTTTACAACTCGTATTAACAGCTGCATCAGTTTGCCATTCTAAAAATAACCATTACGATGCATTGCAATGTTTAAAAAACCTCTACGGTAGTACCACTTGGCAAGAGGGGTGTTAAGTTTAAGGCAACTGTATAATGTATTTGCTTACGAATAATTGATTTAGAAAATGTTATACATAAAACTTCACACATAATTACTTTATATATACAGTTTGAATAGTGTGATTAATTTTTTAAAAAATTACAATACAGAAACAAATACAACAGATGTTGCACCTCTATTTAAATTTACTTATGAGCAAACTGCGTAGTGGTGGGGAAATTTTGACTAGGTCAACAATGTCATCACGATGAAGTAGTAGTATTCTTACAGTTTGGGCGATAGTGATTACGATTACAAATTATATGAAAGAGTTACAACTCCCCTCCCCCAAGGACCCCTCTGTAAAAAAATATTGTCATAATACCACTGCTACTTATTTAAATATATTTCTGTAATATATATTTGTGTAATATATATATTTGTGTAATATATATGTATGTTTAGAACAGTCATCTAAAAACTGACGCTATGTTCACTCTGAGTTGGTTATCTTACCCCCCCCCCCCCCACACACACACACACCTCACCACCACAATTGTGTAGAGCGACATTAATGTCACACCTAGGTATACACTGGGTTGGATAATTGACCTAAAGTGAATGGACAGTGTTGAATGAAGTTGAACCCACCTCCCCCCAACCCACCCCGAACTGATCTGTTAAGTACATGTAGAAAAACGCGTAATAATGTACCAAAGTACCATGCCGCCAGAAAATTAGCTTTTTAAACGTAAAACTCTGTGAATATTGTTTTTGCAATTACCAGTAAAAAGGTGTGTGATCAATACAGTGATCTAACCCATACCTATCAGTATGTTAAAAATGATCTTTAAAGAACACAAAGAAGCAGTAGTTAATTAAAAATATATGATCTGAACTAAAAGACCAAATGTTAGTTAAATGTAGGCCATTATTCCGAATATTTTTCTATATTATCGAAAAACGTGATTTTATACCAACTCTGATTTTAAAAACTTTCGTTATGCTGTAATACTTTAGCATTTATGATGACGATATATTAAATTTTGATTATAGACAAAAACATTTTGTAAACACGAATAGTGTTAAGCAATTTCATTATATTCTTAAGTAATTATTTATTTGCTTTGACATTTATAATTAAATGTATAGATATATACATATTTATATTAAGAGAGTGATTATCTCCCCTATTTCACTTGTCTTAAATAATTTCCCAGGCATTATTATGTAAGAATTTTTTTTACAAGAATTACAAAACAGAATGTGTTACGTTCATTGTTTTTGGTTTTAGTATATATATATAAATATATATACATATATATATATATATATATATATATATATATATATATATATATATATATATATATATATATATATATATATATATATATATATATATATATATTTGTTTAGCTTGATACAATTTTTGTTTTGTCGGCCTACATTGTGTGTTTTTTCTTATTTCTTCAGAGTGCTACTTTCAATTTATTTTTCATCATAGCGAAGTAATGATATACAAGCTAGTAATTATATATATATATATATATATATATATATATATATATATATATATATATATATATATATATATATATATATATATATATATAATACACGTATATAGAACGTGTTAAAAATTCGGCGCCTTTTTCTGCTCTTTTCGCTCCCCCTACAACGAAAACCTGGATACGCCTCTGCCCACAGTATATCTCTAAAACGTTATCGAATACGAAAATGGGGAATCCCCAGCAATATTTGGTCGATATTTTAACCTGCTCTATTTTTTGCCATGTTGTAGTTAAGTAACACAGTAAACAACAGTTGTCTGTCACTTCTATTGGCTGCTTATCCGGCTGTATGCCTACATTTTAAACTCTATGTTGCTTCAGTGGCGCTTAGGTCGAAGGGTTTCTAGATTGCATGTAAGTTGTTTATGTTAAAATAATTATCGTTTCTCCATTCGTGAACTTTGAGTAAATCATTCATATAATTTTTAATTGTGTATGCATTCACTTCAGAAGTTATTTCCTAAATAAAAATAGAAAAAAAAAGGATCATCTTTCTTATCGAATATTCATTTCTGTTCAAGAAAAGGCGTAGAAAAAATTCTTTCAATATGATTTGAATTTTTTTTACATTTAATAACAAGTATATATTCTAGTTGTTGAAAATCTCTCTTTCCCCACACACACATACACACACACACTCACACTTACACACATGTGCACTGTCACAATCATGCATGAGGTCGCTTTTTTAACTGTATTTTACTAACTTATCGCAATATCTTCAAGCAGTAATGTCTTGTTCAAAAGGTTAGAAGTTCTTGAAATTTTGTTTTCTCATAGTTGAAAAATAATGGTTATTCATACAGTTTTTTTAAGCGCTCTCTTTACTTGTTGTGTTGATGAATGTCGTGTCGTTGAACTGCTACTTTTATTTCGTTAATTGATTTTTTTTTCTTTTCCGCTTGTTTTAATTACCAGTTGAGGATACGACATTTACAGCATCATTCCACGTTATTTTAAAAACAGCGCGATAATTAGCCATACAAAATTAAATATTAGAATAGATTAAAACGGAATAAAACAACTGTTTGATTATCAATGAGCTAGGCAAATTACATTGTTTATCTACTTTAAAGTCATAATTTTGTATAAAATATAGCTCCCCTTTTAGACCTAACAATCAACATAACAGGTGTAGACATTGAGTTTCTTGTTCTCGGCATATGAGGGGATGATGTGGTCTAAAATAAATACTTGGGGATTCAGTAGAAAGCAATTCATGCTTCTAATGATGATTATATTAACGTAATTGATTTGAGAAATAATAAAAAGCAATTTACACATATAATTCATCATCCCGTTCTGATAAACTTATTTCCTTATTTTCGATCACTGCGATTACATCATTCTCGGGATTCAAATTCGGCGGTCATACTTTCATTGTTCAATTTTGCACTACGTTTTATATACACAACAATCACATTGAGTGATATATTATTCTTTACCTACATTGCACTTTCCTAACTGTCATAAGTGTTAGTTTACCTATGTCGAATATTTTGTTTTGTTCATTTTTATAGTGATTACACTTCATTTAAATTGTAATACATGTTTTCGGCCTATTTATTTTATTCGTTAAAATAGGTCAAGTCAAATAGTTACTGAATCAAAATAAACAAAGAATGGTGTCTCATCCTGCAATACAAAAATAAATACTTCAAAATTAAGCTTTGATGATCAAAACAAAGAAGAATACATTAACATTTATACGTTTTTTCAAACAGTTTTTTCCTGTTTTCCAAATTATAGTTTTTTGGGTTGTTGTTTTTTTTGTGCTGTTTACTATTTAAAAATTATTGTTTACTAGGGAGAATACAAACGATCAGTTGATCATTATATTTTCTTTTCAAAAACAGAGTTATTACTGATTAAGTAGCTAATTATAGCGACTCAATGAAAAAATATACAGTTTCAAGATCAAACATGTATATAAACAATACGAATTTAGATGGCAAAGCGCCTTTACATCTTGCTGCAGAAAAGAGCAATTTATATTCTGGGGAACTTCTATTAAAGGATGGAGCGGATGTTAATGTAAAAACAACAGGGTTGAACTCAGAAATAACCCCTTTATATGCAAGCGCTGAGTTATGTCACAAAGATTTTGTTCAACTTCTGCTCGAATGGAAAGCCAATGTCAATGAACTGAACGGTTGTGATTATAAAACAGCTTTACACGTGTGTATTGAACGTGGATATGAAGACATTGCATATATTCTGTTGGATGCAGGCGCTGATGTAAATCTGACTGACAAAAGAGGTGAAACAGCTTTACATTATGCAGCTAAGCATGGAAGTGAGGAATTAGTCAAGTCACTTTTAGAAAGAGTTTCGGATGTTACTAGAATTAGCAGCTTTGGGAAAACCGCTTTACACTACTCAGCAGGATGTGGGCAAAACGAAATTGTCGTTTTATTACTCAAAGCTGGAGCCTCGGCAAACATCAGAGACAATCTTGGTCGAACAGCTTTACTTGATGCTGCCTTGTCCGGGTTTATGAAAACAGCTTTAACGCTGGTGAAGTACACATATTGTCTTGACGATGTAGATAAATGTAACAATACAGCTTTACACTACAGCTCCCAGAATGGACTTACAGAAGTCGTGAAAGTGTTACTTGAAGCCGGAGCTAATGTTGACATGAGAGGACAGCTAGGGAGAACCCCATTGTGCTGTAGTGTATTGAGTAAAAAGATTGACGTCATGAAAGAGCTTATCCAACATGGCGCTAAACTTGACATTGAAGACGATTTCAATCAGACAGCTTTGGATATCGCTATTAAGTATTTAAACAATGAAGCAGTAGCAGTTCTAAGACAACATGGCGCTAAGTCTTCAAAAGAAAACAAAGAGACAATGGACGCTGTTTTGAACTCTTCAAAAAGTGAAATGGAGTTTAAACAAGTGATAGGTGAGCATTTATTAACATTATTAACTGTCCGCTTTACCTAGTTAGTTATAATTGCTATAAAGATAACCCTCTTCTAACCTTCTATTTACTTTTTGGTTATAGAGTTGAGATATGCCATTTTACCATTTTATTTAATCAGAGCAAAATTTTAGCACACTAGTTATACAATGGCTGGTGTAAATTCTAATTGCATAAACAATACACTAGGGCTATTCGCCTAATACAATTCTCTCAACATTTCTTAATTTCATGTAACTATAGACGATTTTAAAAGTATCTTTTATTTTATTTTGTAGCGCGAGCTGGTTCATCATTTGCTAGTGGTTATACTACCCAAAGCACTGATACTGGCCCATCTATGAATACAACACCAACATCTTCTACCACTACTCCAAATGCAAGTGATGATACTACCCCAAGTAATGATGAAGCACCATCTATGGATACAACATCAACAACTTCTACCACTACTCCAGATACGAAAGATGAAACTGCCCCAAGTAATGATACTGCACCATCTATGGATACAACATCAACAGCTTTTACCTCTACACCTGATGCAAGTGATGATACTACCCCAAATTATCATACTGCACCATCTATAGATACATCACCAACAGTTTGTACCACAACTACACCAGTAGATAACGTTGCTACTACGACAAATCCGGATACTACACTAGCTACTAGCACTACAACTACAGATTCATCCACTAACACAGATCCACAAAAGTCCTCGGTTGAAAATAAAAGCTACGAAAAGCACAATATAACACAGTCAAAACACCAAATGTTAAATGGGAATCATCAGCCATTTATGGAGAATCGTATGGAGATGTTAAAACAATCGGATACTGATCATAATCATTCAGCCGGATTTGGTCTAGAAAATGCATGTATGTAAAAAAAATATTTTTATATGATATTAAACTACCTTAAATCTTTAAAATCCAAATATTGGTTAGAACACTCCAGGGAAGGTTTCTGCAAAACAAAAATTTATTTCGCGATGGCGGCGCCCCGGGGGGGTGCGATTTTTTTTCTCTATATACGCTATATGAAAAACTCGAATGAGGTTCAACACTGCTCATCCGAGTGCCATGATACTTTGATGAGTACTCCTGAGAAAGTTTCTGTGGGGAAAAATTCAAATTCGCACAGTGCAAAAGACTGGTTAAAATGGGGGCTTTATAATTGTTCAATAAATTGAATCATGGTGCGATTTGGCACCCCGGGCTGTCCCGTGAGCAATATGGCGACTACGTGCGTTTAAAAGAGTGTGATAGAATATGGATAAGAATTAGTATTATAGTATTATAGTCGTTTACTAAATTGAATCAGGCGCGTCAGCCCGGCAAACTGCGACTTGCTCCGGGCTATCCTCTGACTTCCTTCTAGCCCCGCGGAAACGCGTGGGGACGGGCACGCTAATATAATATAAATTTAATATTAAGAACATAAACTCATAAACTGCTGTTTTGATAAATAATACAATCATATTTCCGTTTAGATAAGCAAGACACAATGGTCAAGCAAGCGAAGACTAACATCCAGCCTGTAGCCAAAATAAGGAAAAGAAAATCCACAACTATGTAAGTTTTTATTTCCCCTTTCCCCTCCCCCCCCCCCCCCCCACCCCCACCCCGCACCTCATCCCATACTAACTAGTTGTTGGATTGGACAAACGTAATATATTACAGTGTTCTTTGGTATTCGTCTTGCTTTCCTTTACTGTTTAGTTTTTCATTTAGCCCATTATGGCATGAGATGTAATTATAAATATTTATAAAAGCTTTACAATTTAATTAATGTAAATGCTCTTAATATGAAAACTTGACGGGCTGGGAGTGGAATGTGTACAAAATCTGTTCCCCCTCCATACCCCCCTAACCACGCCACCCCCACGGTGCCCCCACAATAAACGACAACCTACATACAGCTTATCTATGTTGGATTTCTTTAATTGTTTCGTTTCAATGACAACTAGCTAAAACAGCGTTTGTAGTGGATGTTTTTTTTTAAGTTTGTGCATGAGGTGATTGCACGCACCGAAGGCGTGAGGACACGACACAAATTGTTGGTCACTTATAAAGCTTATAAAGTATTTTCAATACATTCTTGTGACTGTAATATCTGAGAAAACGAAAAAGCAGTCTATTAAATGTATCTTTTGAAAAACGTGGACATTTAGAAGTTCAAATCACTTTATAGGTATATTAAATATTATTTTTATTACTTAGATGAAATTTTGTTCTTAAATTTGTAAAAAGCCACTGTAGATGGTGAGCAAATTTTAAGAGGCAATTATGTGTACTCCAGTTTTATTTTATTTTTTTTAGATTTTATTAATTTTAAACAGTCGTTTGTTTTCTTTTTATATTAAGCTGCGGTACAAAAAGAGTTAAAACAATGTTAAAGTATTTTTAACACGCTCTTTTAAAAAAAAAAGAAAACGAAGTATTTTAATTTCAGAATTCATGTCAAGAAAATTGATGTTTACATCAGCCAAATGAATTTTGACCATGTCGAAAATCTGGTCTTCGGCGGAAATATCACAAGTTATGTTTTAAAAAAAGTAGGTCTACATATAGACAATAGAAATATGTGATTGTATATTGGTATGGTTTTAAGGGCTGTATGCGCGTTTGTTTCCAGTGAACTTATATAAAAGAGCTCAACGCTCTTGTTGAGAATAAAAGTTTTCCTAATAATATATATGCTAATTATTTGAGTTTTGTTACCAGGTGTTAATTTGGGTTATGTAATCTTTACTCAGGAAGCAAGACAGGCCCTATCACGGGATCCACTGCACAAAAGTAAAAGATGGTGGCAAAGGACCCGCAAGAAAAAAATCTAGAAGATTGGATACATCTGGGCACTCGGGTTCTTAAATCAGATTTAGATTAAGATGTATTATAGTTGATTTAATATTTTTTTAATCTGTGTAAGCTAAACTATTTTCTCTTTAATAAAATTAAAAGTGAAATTAAAATGAACATGTCAATAATTTTAAAGCACTTCATTCAAAGCCTATTGCCATTTTTTAAATTGTTTTTTTTTTTGTGTATAGAAATTGCTGTCCACTGATTCACATTTCAGTCTAGATTTAGATTATATGCTAAAAGTAGAACAAAGACTAGATTTCAACGATACTTTATGCAGAACATCTGCTATACACAGTCTCGGGTTTATCCGATTAATAAATGGGGCATTCCCGGCAATCGTGAGACTTATTTTTACCTGCTTTATGTGTGCAGTGAACAGAATATATAAATATAAATATAAATATAAATATAAATATAAATATAAATATAAATATAAATATAAATATAAATATAAATATAAATATAAATATAAATATAAATATAAATATAAATATAAATATAAATTATATAAATATAAATATAAATATAAATATAAATATAAATATAAATATAAATATAAATATAAATATAAATATAATATAAATATAAATAATATAAATATAAATATAAATATAAATATAAATATAAATATAAATATAAATATAAATATAAATATAAATATAAATATAAATATAAATATAAATATAAATATAAATATAAATATAAATATAAATATAAATATAAATATAAATATAAATATAAATATAAATATAAATATAAATATAAATATAAATATAAATATAAATATAAATATAAATATAAATATAAATATAAATATAAATATAAATATAAATATAAATATAAATATAAATATAAATATAAATATAAATATAAATATAAATATAAATATAAATATAAATATAAATATAAATATAAATATAAATATAAATATAAATATAAATATAAATATAAATATAAATATAAAATATAAATATAAATATAAATATAAATATAAATATAAATATAAATATAAATATAAATATAAATATAAATATAAATATAAATATAAATATAAATATAAATATAAATATAAATATAAATATAAATATAAATATAAATATAAATATAAATATAAATATAAATATAAATATAAATATAAATATAAATATAAATATAAATATAAATATAAATATAAATATAAATATAAATATAAATATAAATATAAATATAAATATAAATATAAATATAAATATAAATATAATATAAATATA